TACAACCTTGAGAAACCTCCCACAAAGATGAGCCTAAGTTTAGATATGAATTTTCTCTCGGTGCCCATAATCAGTTCTGACCATGGTGCGCATGTCCACCAATGGCCATGAGGGTGAAAGGTTAACCGCTGTCCTATCATCTGGTCGGCAATATTTCAACAATCGAGAAACTCCCTCTACAGACTCGCTTATAAAGGTGATTTTCGTGAAACCTTCGAGTGCAATTTTCGTTTTGGTTTTTCATAAAAGCGGCCACGTCAAGAATACTTCAGAGAAACAATGGCTGATATGCAAAGCACATGTCTGACCAGTATTCAATACTTTGTGTCGTATGTAAGGACACTTTTCATCGTTTAAGTCTTATCTCATCATGCCTATCACTGGCGAAAATGGAGACTCTGAGAAAAGCTAAAAGAAAGTACTCTTTGCCTTCCTTTTACCTTAGACAATGGAAGCCGATTAAATTTACTGCACCACTCGTTATACCCTTAAACTTTTGCCTCACTAATTTAACTGGGTCGAAAAATATAAAGCGAGCAAGAAAAATGGTCAAAACCAAATCGATCAAAATCTTTTACTTTTTATTTATTAGTAAATAATCGTTTTAATCTGCATATTGCATTGCTAAAAGATTCTTTCAGTATGTATTTGCATTTGAAGGTGAGCAAATGTTTGTTCTAGATAAAAAATCCAGAATGAGAATTTTTAAATAGAATTGAAGTGAGAAGGCCGCCCTCTTTCAAGTTTCAGTTAGATCTGAATCAAAATAGATTTCGCTTTCAGGTAGTTCATTTTGTTTATCGCAAATGTGGTTTTTCGTTTTTAAAATCTGCACAATATTAAACTTCAACATTAGAAACTCGACAAATTCGTACGAGTATCGTCGAGGATAAAGTAATATAGTGAGGACAAAACTGCAGCAACCATGATGAATTTCTCCGAGTGGGCAGTTGTCAACGGAAATGGGTATTTCTTTCATGATACAAGACGATACGTAATTAGTTATTTGTTGTTGCAGGGGAATTCTGCAGATATGTGTAAATAGAGTTGAATTCCTTCAAAGTAAAGCCAGATCTGAAGTGGGAATTGTTTCACTTACCTTAAAAGACAATGCCTTTGAAATTCATGACGAGTTTGTCATTAGCTCCCGCGAGTCCTCCACTTTCTTCTCGAAAACCGTTAAACTTTAGAAATACATTGCGCAATATCAGTATTAGTGAATTCTAGTTAGTTTATAAAACGTTGAGGATATTCTCACGATGTTTGCCCAAACAAGACTCTCCTAGTGTAAGAGAAGACCGTGAAAAATGCTTCAATAGCACGTTACTAGTGCGAGAGACAATTTTGTGTGTGGATTGATAACAATCAAGAACAGTCTTTTTAAAATGAAATGAAATCTACAAGTTGCAAAACAATACATACCTAATTTCACCATTAATAAATAACTAGTTGAGGAAAAAACAATGTCTAGCCGGCAGACTTTGATAACGGTTGTTTGACTATTGTTGCAGTTGTGGCTTATGTAACGTGCGAAATGACGGATGATATAGAGGTGAAACTAAAACCGCAGAGGATTTTTCTCATTTATGATAAATACCAAACAACGGACGTTACCATGTCAACAACAGTTAACCTGTTTCCTTATCTCTGAAATTGAAAGATTTAAATGCAAATTGTAACCTATTTGACTTCAAACACATCTGCTTAGAAAACTTGTATGAGAAACTTTGACAGAAGTGTACACAAAAACTACTTATGTAAACATACATATAATTTATAATGATCTTTACGTTTGCCGGCGAAAATTGCTGGTTTTTCACATGGTTTCATCGGATGCAATGACTTGTAAAAATATAACAATGTGATAACGAAGTAAAATGTCGGTTACATAACTCAAATTCTGCTTCCGTTGATGGACACATTTTTTTACCTGTCATTTAACAAAAAGATCCCTTTGATGATTTAACAATGGTGCCAAGGAAAACTAACTGAAGAGTTGAAAAAATAAATTGAATTTGCCTACCTTGTTATCAAATTCATAGTAAAATTGAATTGATTTCAATTCACTCATATTATTTCAGAGAATGTCCTGTTTTAAAAATCTCTTCTCACATTTCGCATATCTTCAAGAAGTTTTCCTGCGTAACGTCCTCAAGTTCGCTCAGCCACCTTCGTATAAATCTGAAAAAACTACTAGCTGTGGTGATCTGCTGTGGTTATGCTAACAGCAAGATTCTATGTTTATTACCATAAAATCTAAAAACTGGTTAAAACATAAGAGCTAATTAATTTTAATTAACCAAAGATAACATCCCCAAACAAGCAGGGGCGTACTATGAAGTGTTGCTTCGTAACGATTGCCCACTCTGATCAATTGAGCACCGACCGTTACCAAAGAAAATTTGCAATTTGTGCCATCAGAACTAATCCATCGTTCGCTGAATTTTACAAAAGTAAAAACTATATTAAAAAAAACCTTGTTCATAACTCAGAATGCTAAAAATCTCGGGAGGAATTACATAACATCTTAAAAAATGCAATGCTGATATTTTGATGTTCAGTTTGGGAAGGTCTCAGTGTAAGTGAACAGACGTTTTGCTCGTTCTTTCGTTATTGTTTCTGATTACCATTACTATGCAGTAGTTAGGACCACGCTATTAGAACTACAAGTTTCACCTACTGCTGCTACTTGAGATAACCCAATCCTTTTCGTGCGCTTTGTCATTTGTTTTCATGCTTTCCTTTAGGTAACAATAGCTGGCCAGCATGTATTTCCTAAATGCTTGAATAAACAAATTATGTTACATTTTAAGAGCTTGTTTCCGCTAGATCACAACCAAATCCGTCGCAGTACCATTTTTTCCATTTTGAGAACTACTAAGACAAATACTGAGTTAGAAAGTAATTATCAAAAATGTCAGCCGATGAAAGGACGCCGAAAATTGCTAATGCAAAGCAAATTTTGTGAGTTGATTTTGCTTTGGATTATAATTGATTCAATAAGGTATGGACCGATTCAGCTCTTCGCGTGGAAACATACTTAAGCATTTGAATTACCTAACGGGTCATCGATATTACCAAAATAAATTATAGCTCAACGTATGTATTCGAAATAATGAAAAAAAATTTTTCCTCGGTGATTGCAGCTATCTCTGTGGCTTTATAGCAACTTCAATTGGTTGCAGCATTTAGCAAGTCTTCTACATAATCTGACCTGTTACAATATAAGGATGTGAAATTATGGACAGATATATTCGTTTAGTCGATGATATAAGGATGAGTTAGACGCTGACATTTAATTGGAAGAGTTTAACATGATTGTCAACTCGTAATTGTTGTAATTAACAATTTATGGACGACGACCACGAAATTCTTTTTATCACTTCACAACTTATAACATCTCAAGAAAACTGGAAGGCTTGGTTCCCGATTATGTCAGGAAACTGTTAATGAAATGTATTGTAGACAAACTGAAAACAGATCAGAGGAACTGCATTGGCGCCATTTTACTACAAATTTCAAACAAAAGAACCCGCTTTATTTAAGGACTACGTAACACACTCAATCCATTTGGCAATTTCATGCTACAAGAAGAAGAAATTAGATCTAGTCTCACCTGACGATATTTCTCCGTGAAATACCAGGATTTTACAATTGGTTAGACCCTTGCTTTGACGCTTCGCGATCCACTTATACTAACAGCTAAGGAACAGATTGCCGAAATAGATAACTCCTTTCCTGTTTGAGAGTAAAGCGAATTCCTGTGACGCCTATATTTGATGTCACGTGAAGATATTGATTCTGGCACAATTATTATCAAAATTAATCAATTGTCCTTCTAGTTGTTCATTATCCTTCTCATAAACTCTGCTGCTTTTTTTCTTGTTTCACGTTACTTATTCAAACGTTTTATTCATTCGATCGAGCTGACTCCAAATCAATTTGGTTTCCTTGAGGCTAGCATTGAAACAGTTCTTCACAGTTAGAGCAAATTATCTTATAATGAAATTTGCCTGTGGCAACACATTGTTTATGTCTTTATCTGCTCTGTCTATACATTTTTCAATTAAAAAGGATGTCTAGAGATTCTTTGTCGCCACCCCAGGGCGACAAGTTCTCAGTTGTTATCACGAAATAAACAAAATGTATTCAATATTGTTGATGTAGTGAGCGTAGAACGTGTTGTGTAACGTGCACTTTAAAGATCTCTCAAATTTATCATTTTTGGTCATGCATAAATCAGAACTCACGCTGACAGAATTTGGGATAAAACTAAAGTAAATAACGTGAAGGAACACCGTTTGAAGATTAACATTCATAACAATGTTATTTTATTTGTTAGAATATATGCTTACATTCCCTTATTGCCGATAATGTCGGACTCTTGTTCTGCTCAAGCTAGTTACTACATGTAGATGCACACACGATCATATGAGACTGTAATGCAGTAAAATCTACTTGTATGTGTGTGCCCTCCATACCTTCCTTTACGAGCAGAATTGATTGTTAAATAACGGAAATTCAAGAACACCATGTACAGCTATGTTATAATTCTTGATAAATCACGCTAAACAAAATCTTGATTACAACTTTAAACAATTGCACTCTAAAATCAGTATAAACTCTCACTTCAGTGACAATGAATGTTTATTAACCAACCGCTAAGAACTGATTATCATCATATCTTTCTGAATCGAAAGTATTTTGGCACATGAATTTAATTGCGTATTCTACCAGTCTCTTCGTCTTCGTTCACCTGAGCATTAACTAATCTTTAATCGTTTGCTTGAAACTTTAGTCTCAGCCTCGTAACAATCGATGATCCCAACTATATCGGAAAATTTTGATTAAATTAAAGGTCGGTTTTTTTTTCTCCATCTAGGGGCTTCTTATGCAATTGAAATGTATCAAATATTTGACTCTACAAATAAGTAATAAAAATAAATAGTTGAATCAATCTCGACTTTTTATGAGTGATATTTTTGGCATGGCATGGCAAATACAGCATATGTCTTTGGGAGTTTGTGGTTGGTAGGCCTCCTTAAAAGTCATGTTTTTTTTTTGTAGAATAAGTATCTATTTAATAAGGCTGCATTTATCTCAAACGCAAGAAACAATCCCAGAGAACTTTCGTAGCAACTGCTACGTCAAAACAACGGAGTTTTTCGCTCCGAAAAATCACACTCTTATGGTCTAACAATGTTTGGTCAAATTGCGATTAAGGTCTGTAAAAGACTCTGTTTTCCTATCTTTCCTTACCATCTAAAAGAAGGCAAATATTATTTGTTATTTTTTTAAATGACTAGGTCACAGTTTATCCATTTTATGCATTTTTTTTAAACTTTTCAATTCGCAATCCGGGAAAATCTTTTCCACCCTTCGACATAAGTCCCTACTAGTTCAAAATTACTCCTTTTGAGTTTTCCTACCCAAGTATTAAACATATTAACGATAGTTTTGAGCTATCCAAGAATGAATTACAGCGAACAAGCAGCAGAAATGCGTCCAAAGATATAAGCATTTATACCTTATTCCTTTAGAATTGGCTGAGCTTTCATTTAGTTCACATTTCCTTAGAAGCCACAACATGTCGCCTTAAATCAAAGCAATATTTTTTTGTCAATCCTGGTATGAGCATAATAAAGTGCATATCTCTCATTCGGTGATATATGTGTTGAAAATTGGCGATGCACGCAGCCTTAGCCACCGATTTAATCGATATCAGTTGAAAAAACTTTCAAGCGCATGCGAAGCTAATCAGATTGGAGATTAAGACGAAGGGAGAAAACTTGTGGGATGTTGGACTCTTCTACTCCTTTTCGCCTTCGGAACTAATAACGGAGTAAAAGCACCAATAAAAAATATTGAACACAAGATATGCAACAGGGAATAATATACGAGAGACGCGATCGACGATGCTTGCATCACTCTCCAGAAAAGCAAACTTCACGAGTTCCCTAGTTTTCCCGAGGGCCCCAATGCTGCCGCTTTGCGAACGCTCAAAGTCTTTCTCATTATCAGACTTGTCGTCTTCCTCACAGCGTCTTGGTGATGTTTCGCCATTGTCCTGAAAAACAGTTTTTGCAAATACGAAGATGATCAAAGTGATTTGTAATACAATTCTTTGGCGGCTGCTTCCTGTTTCTTCCCAACCAGCTCAGAAACTGCGAAAATTTTTACAGCTCTACGTGTGGTTGAAAGTCTCAAATTTACGCCAAAGTCCTGGGAGAAAAAAAAAAATTACTATCCAAACCCTATTACTCTACCAGCTCCCCCCCCCTTTTTTTTTAATCTGGCTTTTTCCCTACCCACTGAGCCACTGTCACAAGAGAAAAGGTTATTGTACACGAATAATTATGTGCGGATAGCCTGATGGTGGCAATAACAATTTGATCATTTTTGAAACGACATTTTAATGTTACCTGTTTCAGAGGTATCATTTCCATATCTATACTGTTCTCTTTTTGGGGCCCTTTCAGCTTTCTTTCGGTATGAAGACGCACGATGACGTATTCTCCAACCGCGCCAAACACGAAAAAGAAAGATATTATGAAGTAAACATCGATGGCCTTGATATATGACACCTAAAAGAGGAAACGAGGAAAGAAAGCTTAGCTCTGTGCTCTTACTTTTTTCCTGTTGTTATCTGACTCGAAGAGACGAATATGTTTATGTAGCTCGCGCGACATTAGAGTGGTTTAGCAAGGGGAAGGGAACGTCATTTCAGAACGGCTCGCGCAGCAAAAATGTCGATAAAAAACTGGGTCGAGAATGCCGTCGCGTTGTGTTGAAAAGTGATTTAGCAGTCATTGCAACGAGAATCATCACCTCAGCTTTATAAAGATCACCATCACCTTTGAATTTTCGGTTTTATAGACCACTCTAAAGAAAACGAAATGATCTTCTTTGAGAGTTATGTAACAAGCGCAAACAGAGGATAGTTATAGATACGGCAAGTAAGTTGATAACTATGAATCCACATGGGCGATTAAACTTTGAAACTAGTCCATTTCAGTTTAGTCTCAAGTCTGCTGATTCATCTATCAAATTTTGAAGCCCACTAAATAGTCTTTTTTTCTATGATTTGTGTCGCTGTTATTTCGTTTCGTGCTACTAGATTTCAGCAGTACTCGTTTTTCTTCATAATTTTGTAAAGGATAATTTGGAAATCGTCGTCGCTTTCTCCCTTGTTTACTGAATATTCTTCTCAATTATGACAGTACATCCCTTTTGAGCACCACCTTCTTAGAGTTGAAATACATTTTGAACGGAATTATCAGAAGTTATGGCGAAACCATGTAGAAATCAGGCGACCCAACGATGAAGTTGTCTACGATGAGTTCCTGTTTATTCTTGAAAGAATGAAATTAACTCAAACTAGTCACCAACTAAACGGTTAGACTAAGGAGTAAGACTTCGTTCCTGTTTTATTATTTTATTTCGTTTTTGTTTAATTTAATTATTTTTTAAACGAATGAAGTCGTTCAAGACAGAATCAAATTAATAGATTTAGAAAGCCGTGCCGAAATCAAGTTGATTGTCATTTTATTTCGAAGCGAGAGCATGACTTTCTTGTCTTAGTTTTCACCGATCAAAAATTTCAAACATTGAAAAGTGCATACCTGAGTTATTCTCAATTTTCTTCAATCACGGTAAAAACGACAATAACAACAAATAACACTGAATAATACAATAGGTAAGCGTCGTGATATTTCATTTTGATAAACTTCAACGTGAAGCAAGTTTAATTTATTGATGAATTGATTCATGATAAAATTAACAGCGTCCCATTCTTAGAGTTTCCATACAGGATTAAAGAAATGTATCAAAGAAGAGCCCTTTCGCTGTTTTAAGCCTTGCTCAATTACAAGTATACTGAGTCCTAAAATCTTGGATCCGGCGCTTGCCAACTATTGTGTTTCCTTTCGGGAATTCAGCACAAATGAAGCGGTAAATTTTCCAAAAATACACCGAATAAACCAAAGGAAGGGATCAGGTTATCCTGGAAATGAGTTCTGAAATAATTCCAAACAGCATTATCTTGTTCATAAGCGCAAAATTTACGCAAATCCTAGGCGTTTTGATCGCGACGGGAAAACCAGCGTGATGACGTCCTGAACTTGTTGGGGAGAACGGCAACGCTAACACCGGAAGTCGAAATAGAGTCGTGTCCTGACTATCCGCGCGCTTTCCCGTTCTGAAATGACGTTCCCGTCCTCTTGCTAAATCACTCTATTATTGCGGTGAGCGGATTGGACTATGCACGCGCTGAGCATGAACATGTGAGTTTTACAAAAAATCCTACGGAATGATGTACGAAAAATGTCATTCAAAGTTACAAGGGCACTCTCCTGTTTGAAAAGACGCTTGAAAGATCTTTCAAGCGTCGATGACGACGTAGTTTGGTTTAAATTAGTTTTGCATTTCAACAACTCTTGCTATCTGCAACACCTGAAATTGTTAAAATGTGGTATTTCCCTCTAAAGTTCCTGTATATGCTTTTACTTAGCGGTATGTACCACAACTTCAACTTCTTTATGATTTTTTTTCTTTTTTTGATTGAGCAAAGCTAAAGAGACAAACAGTGTAAAAATATTCTAGTAAATGAAATGGAAGTGTGAAAATATGGAACAATCAGTATATAAATGCTTTGCAGGCATTAACAACGCTGAAAATCAAAATTTTGACAATATTAAGATCATATGCTTTTTGGTAGAAGAAACTTTGGCGCATCAAATGCTAGATCGAGGGGAGTATGAGCCATATATGGTGCATGTTTTTTAATATATGCCGCTCTTCTTTTGCAGTGAAGATCATTGTGCTAAAAAACGTTTTGAGTATGCACTACATGTTATTTGAAAATAGCCACACTTTTAGTTCTTCAAAGCATAACAATAAATATAGATGAATGATTGTCACATAATTCTGCAGTATCCCCGCAACTTGATGCATGCACATTAAAAAATACATAATCATGATAGAAATATTAAAAATAATAATAATAATAATAATAATAATGCAATTAAAAGAAATGCTCGTTTGTAAGCAATGTATTTTGGAAATGTAATATGCTAATTAGCTTCGAAACAAGGCCTTGTCCAACCCGCAGAGTTAAACACACGAGGACAGGGTTTCTGCCATTTTCTTAACCCTGTTGCCCTCACCTTAGGTACTGAAGACCGGAAAGAGCCCATAAGTGTTACGATGGTTAGGACTGTTGTAACTCCCAAGGCTACACGAGCTGGAACTGCGTCCTGTGCGATCCAAAAACTTAGCCAGGAGAGGAGAACTATCAGAACTGTCGGTGCATATATCTGGATGAAGGCGTATCCAAGACGGCGCTTAAAGGTGAATTCTGCCCACAGGTGCGTATAGTCTGAATCTTGTCGAAACAAAAAGAAAAAATGTTGTGTAATCATTTCTGTGTACTCATAAAACTGCATTTTACAAGAAATTAATTTTTATAAGCAGCAAGACGACTATTGACCAAACGATCGAGCGACCTAAAAAATGCTCCGTCAGGTTAGTGCCCACAGCTACGCTTGCAAAAAAAATAAAAAAGACTATTGCCATGTGAATTGTATTCTCTTCATTGTTAACATGTTTTTCCTCATCAACTTCTTTGCATAACTTGACGAACAAACTGAGTGCGAATACTTACTTGAACCGCGAGTCCCATAAAGTACTATCGCCCTTCTGGTCTTGATGTCTCTCAAAGTGAACTCGTTCATTTCATCTTCAAGAATGACGATACCTTTCTTATCTTTGTCTTTCCAAAAATAGTCGACTTGTTCAATCGGATAAGCATCTAAAGGGCACATACGGCTGTTAGACTGCGAACTGTGTCCTTAGGTATTATCACAAACATATAATAAAAAGGTGCGAATTGGCGATAAGATGTCGATATCAAATTTAAATCTATTCGTCATGAATTTGAGTGAATGTAGCCTGGATCTTTTCACCGATTAGAAAATTTGGCCTTATATGTCAACAAAATATCCATTTAAATCTCCTGGAAGAACTTGTTTAATGAAAAAAAAGTTTACTCAACAGCTTAAAAGTGTCAGGTTGCAAGACTGTTTGTCCAGTGGGTAGTCCCTCAGATCCAACTGGCAGTTTGCTGTCATGGTTATCCTGCAAGAAATTTATAAATTCAGTGACTATATAAGTTTTCTCGTTTTTTAATTTTTGAGTGTCATTGTTTTATTAAGATGACATATCTAGTTAAAGTCGTTTACCTACTTTGGGTATATCTTCTACATTTAGTTGTAAGAGCGGGATAATATTCTTGACTTTGTAGTTTATTTTCATAATTGGCAAGTTTTCACTCCGCAATTTCTCAACATAATAGTCTGGGACAGCTTCCCTCTCTATTTGAGTTGCGCATTATAGTGTCTCGAGTTTTAGGTTTGGCGTCTAAGGGTCATAATGTATACGCACATATAGAAAATTATTTTTCGATTTGTCTTTGAGTAACTGGTGTTCGTTACCTTGAACTCCAAGTGACCTGACCGTCAGTCCTTATTTTTACTCTGCTGTTATCAGCTGGTACGTTGTGAAAATTGGCTGTCTTGATATTGAGAAAAAAGGTATCCGGCAGCCAAATAAGATTTCTGTAAGATCCGGTCAAGAAAATTGGCTCTTCAAGGGTATGGTTCAAGCGCGGGTCTCGCCAGTACTGACGAAAGAACACGTCAACGGAGAAATCCTGCAGTACAAACATAAAGGGTTTCTCTGACTTCAAAACGATCAACCGTTTATTTTTTTGTTTTGTTTTTGTTTGTTTTTTTTTTTCATTCAACATAGGTAAACTTTATTTTTCGCTCAAAAAAGGCGACTATTGCACCAAATATGCTGCGAACTTTTAAAATTTCAGATTCCTAGAAAAACGGCATGTTCTAACATACGATAAGTAAAGTACAAAATCTCCATCAGGATGGGACGGTGGTCTATTTCTTGCTACAGTCAATGAAAATGGTCGGGTACAAACTTTGCGCCTGAGGCGGGTGAGTTTGGAAATTTATTTTAGCTCCTGATCCGTTACTTACCATATCAATTTCCCTCACTTTTCCGAAATGTACCACGGACATGTCTATCGTAATATTCAGTGGTGGTCCTATGTTGAGGGAAAAAATATTCGCTTATCCTGCGAAGAATATGATACTTCAAAAACTGAACATTTTTTTAATGAAAAGAAAGAACATTTGATGGCATAGTCTGATTTTCAGGGTAAGTCGTGAGAAGGCCTGTTATCGGTAATAGTGACTGAAATAACGACGACCCGAAGCCGAGTTGTTGTGACTCGAGTGTACTGAGTCCGATTACGCCGTTCGTGTTAACTGATTTATGAGTTTACTCGTGATTTTTGATCGGCCACGAGACTCACGTGGATCAGTCGTGGTTGTTCTGTTCAGGGGAATCTAAAAACCAGCTTTCCAGACTCAGTCGCTGAAAATAGTTAGTGCTGTAGGTTAGGCATTACGCATGGTCTCAGTCAGTAGCGTAGTTCGTAAGTCGATGATGTTCGGCATTTTGATTGTTGAAATCCCTTTTCTCGTCGCTCAGTCGTGTTCAGTCAGTCTTGCTGTGAAGTTTCTAGTCTTTCTGATGTAGGAGGCTTAACCGTTGGTGTACGTAATCTTAAAAACGGCGTCCTATTTGTTTTTTAAGTTCTTCTATGTCTTGGACGTTTCTCGGTAACTGACGTGGTGTAGTGATAGGATTTTAAAAACCCATACATGCACATAGAGGAAGGAAGGCAGATATGAAGTGTGTTTCATCGCTAAGATTAAGCAAAATGTTCATCTAGAACTAATTTAGAGAGTATATTCAGTGATACTGAGCGTCATAAAATAAGAAGAAACGATTGCAAATTCTCTAAAGATAGAGATCCATTACCTTTGTGAAAAGGCCTCAGGCGTTTATCATAGTGATCCTCGTGAAATAATTTCTTCATAGTCTCTGTAGTGCTCTTGTAGCTTCAATGAAAAAACGAAACCGAAAAAAAAAAAAAAGAATTTTAAAGTGATCTGGAATAAATGAAACAGATGCATACTTTTATTTTCCCTAGGTATAAAAATATAAATAAGGATAACGAAAATTGTTTCAAGATGTATTTTTATGCAAACGATGCTTTTGTTTCACGGCATGTATTTTAGATGACTCATAATTATCGAAAGGTCTCAAGGGAATTTCATTGTTGGAGAAGAGTATTAATTATATTTTATAAGTAGATTAAAACAATTCTCCCCATGCAACTGCACTCACGACACACATATCACACAACGAGACACACACACACGCACGCGAAATTGGTGCTTTTACAGAAGCTAAGCGAAAAGCACACTGGGAGGCTCGTCCTTCAGCCAAAATCTGTGCCGGGTTAAGCTGATTGAACGCTGCGTTTTGTGGGGGGTAGGACATATTTTTTTGTTTTACAAAATCGCTGGTAAGTTGACTTTCTTTTGAGCTTTCGTTTCTTAACTGAAATGGAGGCGCGTCATCATGAACTTAGCACTTAAGCCATGAATCGGAACATTCTCAACACAGTTGTTGAACTTCTCTACGCATCGAAAAAGTTATCTCGACTTTATTTGAAACTTTAACACTGAAAATTTTGGCTCAATGTGAAAAACACAAGGAGTTCGCGACGTCTACAATAAGTTTAGCGCAGTGTTTACATCCGCTCTTCTCCTAACATGTTTAAACTCTACATTAAATATTAATTTGAAATTCCTTTCATTTTCTTATCTCAATGCAACCACATGTTTGAATACATTTTCAGGGTGGAAAAGGCAATCATAGGCAACCCATCTTTTTCAAAATCTCAGCTCCTTGTTCGATATTATGTATCACTAAGTTCGGAGTTTAATTCTTTGAGAGAAAACCTTATAAGTTTAAGTTTTCTCGATGAACGCGTTGTATTTATCTAAGCTCATCATGTTTCCTTATTACCTTTTTTTGTACTGTGGCAAATAAATAAATACAAATTCACGGGAATAAACGTAATCTAAACCTACCTTGAAATTGACACCTTTTACTCCATTTTATGTACTTTTCAATTACTGTGCTATAAGACTAAACGATGGGCTGAGATCTCTTAGCTTCGAAAAAACATATACGCTGAAAATTGAATTAAATCAGTACCTGTCCGGTGAAGGTGAAGCTGCTATATATAACTTGAAATACCATGCCATGAAATAAATACACAAGAATGTACGATGCATTGTAACCTCTTGCTAACCTAAAAAAAAAGACAGTTATGGAATAAACAAACTCGCTCGCCTTAACGTGAATAGAAAGATCATAATCTGGATGAAGAAAAGCAACCGCCTAAAAACGCTGAAGGCACGCACCGTCGGCTTACTGATGCTCCAGCTGATGAGGATATCGTTAAACAAAGAACATTTATGCTGTTTTTATTCTTTCCTTGCTTTAAGAGGGAAAACACCTTTGTTGAAGCTCAATACTGATCAAGTCTTAATTTAATTTATACATAACTATTCAAGTATACATTTGATATATTCAAAGTTATAATGATATTTACTCTACGGCTTCCGAAGTCGATTTCCTCTTTTTGACAATAGGTGTATGTAAAGTATAAAATGAAAAGAACGTTTATCTTACCAAATATATAATTGCTATTCTGGTTTGTCATACTTAGATTGGATAGGTAAATTGCAAGACGTAAAGGAAAATGTGTCTCATTCCTTAGGCTACAGGTATTGTGTGCTCATGAAATTATTCTGTTTGTTTAATTGTTGTGAAGAGACGCACAGTTACCTGCTACTCTTTGTAAATATCACTACATTTTTAGTGCAATGCACCAGCAACCGCTAATAACAATGATTGCCGTGGGATTGAAGGCTTTGGTGACATTGATGGTTCCCAGAGAAAATACCTGATGCCAGATGAGTACTTCTGTCACTTTTATTTTGTCATAGAAACCGCATATGCATCTCCGGGATTTTATGGATTATACCCAATTAATAATTGATCAAACTCGTCCGCAAGGGCCGCTACACAGCTGGAAATAACAATAACTCCTTGCTCATGGAGCAATAAGCTTAATGCATGTTTACGTAAGAAAAGCCATATTCACCCCCTAAGCCTCGTCTCTCCGAATCACCTATGATATCAGAAGAACGCTTTCCTTAAAGCTGTAAAAAGTTGGCAAAGATTCAAGTGTAACAACACTTCGGTGTGAATTTTCAAAGGGAAAAACGAGTGAGGGCTATCGAAAAAATGCTGTAATGTAAACTTATTCAACGGCCTTGCTTACCACAATGTTGATAAGAATGTCTTTGAAAAGAAAATTTTTGAGAAGGATATCAAATGTTGTGGTAGTTTATGAGATGTGCATGATAGAATCAATACCGAGTCTCGCCTTACTCTTTCGTACTTTTTGATGGGAGATTACAGGGAGATGTCAAATTCGCTTTGCACAGGCGTGGAAACATCAAATAAACGGCGTTAAAATGTTCTTTAAACTTTGGTAAGGCGACAAAAAGGTGGTAAATTTCAATCTTGGTTTTCTAAAGACGTTTTAAAAGGAGAAAGGAAACAAAAAGTCACTGAAATTACCTCTTACAATCATCCTCATATAGTTTGTGTGAAAAATTCAAGTTGCAGAACAAGGATTCTTTAATCCTTTTTCTAACGTACGTTAGCAGTTTCACTGAATGAATCAAGGCTGTTCGGCCAGCGCCTTTTTTGCCGACTTGTGTTGTTGGGCCGGCATTTGTATTTTTTGTCGTGTTTTGGAATTGTTTTTTCTTGTTGCCATCTCCTTATGGCCAAATAACTGTCGTATGGCGGCAACAAGGGTGTCTGAACACTCAAACTATATGAGCTTCACATTAGAATACGACCTAGTAATATAGAAAAAGCTGCCTGACACACAATGCTTATCGTCATGCCAATTTGTGTAATTTCTTGTGGAAAACCTTAAAACGAAAAAAAAAATGAGCAAATTAAACAATTTTTACCCACTATTCCTATTTTCTGGCATTTCACTTACAGCTGGAACTTTTCGAACACTGGTGATGCGGGTGAAACGTGATGAAATGGAACTTATGTTCTATCCATTATGCAATTACACTGAAATTAACTGGCTTCCAGACTATTTCAGTTATGCTTTCGTTTTCACTTTGCTTCGCGTTTAAAATCTTGCGAACACTCTTCAGTTAAAGTGGTTAGTGACTGGAACGCTCAAGCTACCCCTCGCCGCCTTTTTTTTTGTCTTTTTGGTGTATTTTAATTGTTGGGTTTTCTCTTTTTGTTTAATTTTACATTTGCCATTTCATTTTGTCCAATTCCTATACGGAAGCCCTGTTTACTGGCCCTGTGGCGTGTTACCTTCTAATTTTGTCGGATGTTACCAACGGGAACGCGCTCTCTTCCTCTCGAGTAGGCTTCGATTTCAAAAACGCGTCGATTTGAAAGAAAAAAGCAGTTTCCTAGCCATTTCATATTAAGAAAATAATTGAATGTGTATTTATGACTTTGATACCAATTACGAATTCTGCAAATAGCAGAAACGCTGTGGGTCGCGTCCTTCCAGACACTCAGACATAATTGTACTAAAGTTTCATATACATCTCGTACACGCTGCGTTTTAGGAATGAATACCTTTTTCTAGATACCACATCGTTTTCTTTTTAGGGTGCTTATATCTGAATAAATTCTAACTCTTTCCTGGGCGTAGTATAATTCGAATAAATGCTACCCGACCAGTAGAATCGGATTTAAAAAATATTTGCTAGTGGTCAGTTTTCATTAACATGTACATAAGGTAATATGGGCGTCTGAAATAAAACAATCCCGTGTATGAGATAACCTTCCCTACTGATGTAATTCAAAGTTTATTTTGCGAACTGGAGAGTCATCAAAACGTTAATCAGACGCCAAAAACATGAAATGACTGAAACAGGTGTTTTTATTTAACTAGCAAGTAATAAACACCTTGCTAAATTTACAAACGTTACTCCATTTTAAATTATCTTTCTATAGTCAAAGTGTTGATTTTTTGGCAGATTTCTTATTACCTATACCAATCTAGATCCATCCTTTAAATTTCGTAAGTAAGGATCCCTCATGAATTATGTCTGAATAGTGAGAATGAAGAGTACCTGATCATAAAATTAATCACTTGCAATTTATGGTTACATTGTTTGAAAAAGCGGACCACTAGAAATGGTCAGAATGTTGAAAGCTTGTAGAGCGAGTCAACCGACTGATAAAAAAACTTAATCCGTTTTCCTCCCTGCAATGTGCTTTCAGTTACCTCACATAAATATGGCGCTCTTCCCCAGTTCGCCGGCGACTTAGTAAGTTAAATTGTCTCATTCATTTCCAAATTATATGTGGAGCGTCGCTATTAATTTACGCCGTAAATGTTCGTTGTTGGGTAAGAGAGTTAGTTGGACTCGAATATCAATCCCAACATGGTGAACATTGGACTGATCGTGTCAAAATCATTAGAATGCATTCCATTATGCTCAAAATCAATGATGTGAATTTTGTTCTTTCCTCCATACTGCCATTTATTTACGTCGGCTTGTCTGAGCCCAGCAATTAGCCATACTATGATTGTGGTATCAAGAAGGCCCACAGCCACATTCACTACTTTGATCCGTTGCGATAAAACATATAATGGCCCAGGAAAGGCAAACACACTTTATTGACTTTAGTTTAAACTTTTTGCCGGCATTTGTGCTCACAAGTTAAATTCTGATAACTTGTGCGATATCCAAATTTGATTTTAGTTTGGGTCTATATTTTAACTAAAATAGTCTACTGAATATTGATACGAATGTATACACCACCCGTTCAGCTTTCTGGAAATCAGTAGACAAATCGGGTTAGGAAAATTAATCTTCTGCAAACGAAATTGATGAAACGGCTTTTATCTAGATATAGATAAGTTAAAGTATATAGGGAAAGTTATTATCAGGGAAGATTGAGTACCAAGATGTATTTCTTCAACAGTAGCAAGTAGCCAATATGGATGCAAACTTCGGATGATTTTTCCTGTTTTCTGAGAACAGGGTTACTTATGATACGCTCTTGTGAATTTTAGCTCTACTGATTACTTTAAGGAATTTTGATCAGATGATAGTTGAAAGAAAAAAACCGGCATCTACGTTGTTTCATAACAGGTTTCTGTTACAATATCCAATATATAAAGAAGAGCCTACATTCTGCCTATAGAGATGTAAATTACTGTCTGAATAGCAGCTGCCTCTTTCACAGAAGAATGTTAAAATAGATCCTTTGGAGAGTAGCTTGCGTCAAATTCGGGTGAAAATGTTTCGTGTTGAAATTATATAAATTCTGGAGAAAAGGTTCTTCACGGGTTTCTCGCACTTTGTAATAACCCTAACCCTAACCCTCTCCCTTCTTTAAAGCTATAAGTATTAGGAGTGTGAATGTTCCGTGTTTAATGTCAAAAACTCTCCTCGAGTAATGGCACTTCTTCTCATTCAATGCATTACGCATTCTGTGGCTCTGTGGCGCTTAGCAAGCTTCCCTGCTCAGCTGTTATGCACTGATGTCTTGTTAGATGGGATAGGCTTCAACTTCGCTGCATACCTTACTCAGGAGTTCAACTTCCAGGTCTCTGAGCTAGTTATGCTGTTGTAAGGCAAATTCGCCTCGTTTGAAAATCATGACGTGGTCTAAACATTAAGATTTCTCCGCATACTCACGTGAAGGGAATATTTTTGGCTGGTCTGTCATAGCGTAGTTTGATAGCATCCTTGTAACCAGGTTTCTTTCCTCATCAAAAAAGGGATGGGCGAGACATTTATGTTTCACATCGAAAGGGCAATACCTCTTTCTTTTTTTTTTTTGTTATTGTGCTAAGGTGAAAAAGCAGCTATTGTATTTCCTTTTGAAAAATTGTACCTACTATTTATTCTGTCAAGACCTTACTAATGGAAAAAGAAAATGTAAACGTATTTCGTATATTTTTTTTCAAATGGCAACATTTTTGAAAACAGGTGTTTATTTAATTAAATAATTTCAAAAAGATCATTTTTAAAGGTGTATTATGTAGGTAGAATTTTGGATTTTGATTATTATCATTATTATTAATAATTGCTATTAGTTACTATTTATTATTATTACTAGTGCCCCAGAACATTCGTAATGCCAACATCATGACACTGTTCAAGAACAAAGGAGATCGCAGTGACTGCAACAACTACTGTGGAATATCCCTCCTCAATCTTGTTGGGAAGGTCCTTGCCCGTGTAGTTCTGAGCAGGTTGCAGTTACTTGCAGAACGCATATACCCTGAGGCACAGTGCAAATTTAGAGCAGGAAGATCAAGGATCATCATGATTTTCTCACTGAGGCAGCTGCAAGAGAAATTGCCGAGAGCAAAGGCGGCCATTATGCATCGCCTTTATCGACCTGACCAAGGCTTTTGACTTGGTTAGCTGGAGAGGACTCTTTACCGTGCTGCAGAGAATAGCATGCCCCTCCAAGCTCCTGAAGATGATCAAAGCTTTTCATGAAGATATGCAAGGTATCATCCAGTACTATGGCTCCTCCTAAGATTCATTCCCATTCAAGAGCGGGGTGAAACAAAGGGTGTGTACTTGCTCCTGCACTTTTTGGAATCTTCTTCTCTCTGCTGCTTTCCCATGCCTTCAGCCTGTCAGAGGATGGCGTGTACCTCCACAATAGAAGTGATAGTAAACTGTTCAGCCATGCACGTTTTCGATTGAGGACGAAAGTGCGGAAAGTATTGAATAGGGAGATGTTCTTTGCAGACGATGCTGCCCTGGCGGCACACACCGAAGAAGCTCTACATTGACTTGTGAACTGCTCTGCACGTGCATGGCATGAGTTTGGTCTTACTATTAGTCTCAAGAAGACCAACATCATCTCCATCGGTGACTACACTCTCGAGTAGGTAGACACTTTCACTTACCTGGGTTCCACCATCGCCAGCAACCTCTCTTTAGACGCTGAGCTGAACTCAAGGATCGACAAGGCAGCAACGGTAATGGCCCTTCTGGTCAGAAGGGTCTGGGACAACTCCATACTGACCATCAAAACCAAGATGAAGGTCAGTCAAGCCTACGTGCTCAGCACACTGCTCTACAGCAGTGAAACATGGACCTTGTACTCTCACCAAGGAAGCAGACTTAATGCCTTCCACCCGAGTTGTCTCATACAGATCCTGGGCATCACCTTGCATAATCATGTCCCAAACAAGAACGTTCTAGCACAAACAAGAATACCCAGTATGCTTGCCTTGCTCGCCCAGAGACGCTTGCGCTGGCTTGGTCATTTAAGCCGTATGGAAGATGGTCGAATTCCTAAGGAAATGCTGTATGGAGAGCTTGCTACTGGCACTAGACTTGCAGGAAGGCCTGTCCTTCGATACAAAGACGTTTGCAAACGAGATCTGAAGGCAGGCGACATCAACTCAGAAGGCTGGGAGGCTGCAGCTGCAGACCGCGACAGTTGGAGGCTCGCCGTCGAAACAGGGATCCAGACAAGCAGGAAGAAGAGAGAAGACCTGTGGGACGCCTGGAGAGAGCGCAGATGACAGAATAGGACAGCAACAGCACCTACAGAGCCAAGCATGCACATGTAGACCTGTCAAAACTGCAACAGAGCCTGTCGATCAAGAATCGAATCGTACAGCCACAGCAGGCGCTGCAACTCAATCAGACATTAATCTCTTGGCGCATTTTCCATTGTCTTCAGCGACGGGATACCGATATATATATATATATATATATATATGCTAGTTTTTCTAGTTTGAGCACTCTGGCATGGCTTAGATGATCCCACATATGTGAGATCATTTGGGGTGGCTAAATGGTCTTACCTCCATCCTAGCATCAGCACTGCACTGATGAGGCCCAGAAGGCCGAAACGGTACTGTCTGCAGTCAGTTATATATATATATATATATATCTATATCTATATATCTATATACCTATGTATGTATGTATGTATATATATATATATTAATACTGTTATTTTTATTATTGCAAAACCCGAAAAGGAAGCACTCGCGAGGGAAGCCTTCAAAGATACGGCTATTGATGTAACCACATAAGCACACAACCATCTGGGGGCAATAGTAGACTCAGCAGCATTCCTGAACGAATACAGCACTAACAAAGTCACATGCTGGACAAGTGGCCAGGCTGGCCGAGTTTGTACTGTCACAGCCTCAAGCATGCTATGCTGCTTTCACATTCAGCCTGAAACACCGCTGGACCTATTTCCTTAGAACACTGCCTGATATTCAGGATCGTCTAGAACTACTGGAGAATGCAATATCAAATGTCCTTATTCCAACAATAACGGAACATAGCTGCAGTTCAAGTGAGCGGGATATGTTTGCTTTACTAGTGTGTCATGGTGGCCTTGGAATCACAAACCCCTGTCATGAAGCAAATAGTGAGTATTAATCGTCAGAGAGAGTAACCATGTCGTTAGTTGAGAAATCGTTTCCCAAACACATAAGCTCCCAGATGACTTCAATGTACGTTCAGCGCAGTAGGCAGCCCGAAGTGAGAAAAGGCATTTAAAATCTCAGTTGATCATGTCAAAAACACATTACCAAGAAGAGTATCATGGTCACCATATCTGGTTGAATACAAAGGAGCATCCATTTGGCTGTCGGTGGTGCCGATGAAAGAAATGGGTTTCAACCTGAACAAGATGGAGTTAAGAGACGCAATCAAGCTACGCTACGATTGCCTAATTGACGACATTCCATGCACATGCGTTTGCGGCGAAGCCTTTTCTGTGGACCATGCCATGATCTGTAAACGTGGGGGTTTTGTAATTCAGCTCCATAATGGGTTACACGATATCGAGGCTGAGTTACTTAGTTTGGTATGCAATGATGTTCAGACAGAACCCGTCCTTCAAGACACTACAGGCGAACAACTAAATAGAGGGACAAACAAAGTCCTGGAAGCAAGACTGGACACTCATGCTCGAGGATTTTGGGGAAGACAACGATCTACCTTTTTTGTTAGGGTATGTTACCCAAATGTAGACTTGTATCAAGGTCTTGAACCTCAACAGATCTGCAAATTGCACAAAAACGAGAAGAAGTGTCTATATGAGGACAGAGTTATTGAAGTTGAATGTGATACGTTTACACCATTGGTCTTCACCACAACGGGAGGTTTGGGAAAAGAATGCAACAGACACCATAGCCGGCTAGCTGACCTGATTTCAACTAAGAAAGGAGGGAGTTATGCGAAGACCATCTCGTGTATCAGAGCGACAAACGTTTTTCTCATCAATAAGATGCGCTCTATTGTGTCTGAGAGGCTCAAGGACTATTAAGAGAGTCTCGTGTGACATTCAGAACATTGACATCCATACAACAGAAAGCGCCGTGTCCATTGAATTTTAGACTAACTTTCTTTTATATGTTCCTTTTTTATTATTCTCTTTATAAATATTGACTTTTAGATTATTTATCCTTCACAAGTATTTGAAATATTGAATTCTAAGTAGTTGCTTTTTATGTTGAAAATTTTACCAGTGAACTCTTTTTTGCTTTAGCTATGCAAGTTCTTCGGAGTTAATATACATTTTTGTAAATAAAGCACGATTTAATTACGTTCTCTATCCATTTACTAATATTCTGACTGAGTTGTCGATAAAGCTTTACATTATTATCATAAATTATTATTATCATCACTATTATTATTATTACCACAATCATTATCATTACATGCAGTGAAAACTTCTGGATACATAAAAAAAAAAAACTACAAGATCAGGCGTAAATACGTGACCTATCTGCTTAACAGGAATTTTAACCTAAAGGTAAAAAAAAACTGTTAATGTTTCTTTTCAAGCTAGAGTTGCAAGCTCGATTCCCGGGTTGATACACGCGCATGCGATAAACACCAAACCAAAATAAACACCAAACCAAAATAAACACCAAACCAAAATAGGATCTTTTCTCTCTTTATTCCTTTCCTATTCCCTGGGGTGTTATTATATCGAAGCGGTCAACTGAAATCATTACGTGAAGAAATAACCTAGGTATTGTGATCATAGCTTGAGAATAATGTGGATTTTGGAAACGAGCACGTGACAATTAAAAGAACCAAAGAAAGGTAAAAACGAGCGATAAATTTCGCTTTGAGTAACGACTACGAGCTAGATAACATAATCACAAAACAAGTTATTGCTTACCAACGTTCGTGGGTCTTGATTGCTTTATCGAGGATTGCCGGCGGTGTAACTTGTTTTCTATTCAAAAACGATCTTGATCACACGGGGTCTTATTTGAACTGAAACGCTAACTATAATTTTCTAGCTAAAACCTAACCACAAAATATTTCGCAGCTTTTCTCGGAAGCGGTAACACTTAGCTTCAATGGAAGCAGTTACAAAAATTACTAATGTATATACAAAAGTTATTATTATTATTATTTAGGATTATTATTATTATTATTACTTTCGACGTAAGAAGAACGCACACTATTTGTGTCGCTATTTGTGTGGACAGGCTTACATCTCGGCTCGTTTTCTTCAAAGAGCTTTAAGCTAGTGGAACCCTGTGGGTTGACTCGCTTCGTTCTCCGGGATGCCATGGGTTTTACAAAGAGCATCAGTTCTGTCTCGCGTGATTAAAATGCTTCCATAAATACCATAAGCCTTAAGGCAGAACTGGATAATCCACAAAGTAGAATGGGTAAATTAAAAGCTACTCTAAAAATATTTAATGTTGTCGACTGACGCTGTTTTCTATTAATGCTGGTCTGTTTTTTTCTTCATACTTCGTCGGCTAGACAAATTTTAACAAACGTATCAAAGGGGGAAAGTGGTTGATAACACAAAAAGCTTAGTTAATTCAAATCCATTTAACACCTGTCCAAGCTAAAACCTTTTCTTTCAAGTAAAAATTTAGGTTCGCATCGTCTTTTCCAAAAGAAAATATTCTCTAAGTGGAAAAAGATGCATCAGAAACACTTTTGATTTTGCCATGAATAGCTCTTTTCTCGCATTTTACGTTATTATAAACCGCTGTGTCTGTAAACAGACGTTACGTAATTCGTTAATCGTCACAAATATTAGACAAAGCTTGCATTCTTACTCTACCGTACAGAGTAGGCTTTCACTGTCTCTCATGTATTTTGAATGGTAACAAAATTTAAATTTCTTAAGCGCAGTTATATATATTCCTTTTGGAAGAGGATTAATTTTATGTAATAAACATGTCTGCCCATTAGGCTGAAGTTGTGGTGTCTTATATGGCACTTAAGTGTTTCATAATTATGATAAATTGTCTTTCGTCGAAATAGAATGGAAAAAGGATCAAGAATGACATACCAACTACGTAGAACGTTAATCTGCTCTATGGAGGTATAAAAAGTGTGTGATGCCTTTTATGCAAAACAGCTATTTGTTTGCTTTCCGTGTGGTTTCGTATATTAAGTTGCCGATATGCTATGTCAAAGCAGTCGTGGGAAATAAGCCAATGGGAAACGTACAATCGTTATACTGCATGGAGAGATATTTGTTTTACAATTTTTACATATTGAACGAATGCTGTTCCCACAGATCTTGCCAAGACCTTCAAGATGTGTCTAAGATTCGGATTACCGGCTTTCGTTTGGATATTAATGGCTCTTCTGTTGAAGACATCGAAAGCGAAGTAAGTAAAATTTGAATCATATCGATTAATTTGAGTTTTCATTGACAAACATTCGGGTTCTGTAGTTTTATTGGCAATGAATACGGTTTCCTATGGTTGGTATGAACTCATCAAATAATGATGAATGGCTTTACTAACGATTCTTTCCCACGACGAATGCATACGACGAAAAATCGTTATTCTGTTGGCACGACGGAAACTTGGTAAAATATGTGCTGTGATGAACTCTCTCAGTTGCATTTTATCGTAAACTGTACTTGACCCAGAATGCAGGATCATTTTCAAACTTCTCCTTTTATCTGTTGTAAAGATATAAGTTAATCTTCATCACTAAGGAAAGGAATTCAACATCGCTCTATTATCGTCGTCCTAACTGTAATATTTCGCTGCCTTTTTTACGTTTTGATGTTGCGCCATCTTTAAACGAGAAAAGACCTGTTTTCACATTTTAATGCGCATATATTATAACTTAAGTTCCATACGCTCTTTACACAAAGCATACTCATAACAATATCTCATTAATGCAATCCTAATTTACTTTTAGCGGTATTTAGTGTCATCGAAAGTGACTGCAATAAATGTCTGTAGATTTTCCAAGACAAGCAGCTCTCTATACGAATGGTGCAGCTCTATACTGTATGAATTTTATAAACATACTAAAAGCGTATGAATTCACCTGCACTTTGTTTTCTTAGAAATGTAGAGGCCGAATCGAATTTTATTCTTAACGAACCTCAGGCTCGTCAAAACATTATTATTATTCCTAAGTGATCGCGAATTCTTCATTTTAAAACGCTCTATCGTCATGAATTCAAAACTACTTACACCTGGTCCAAGCTCAACAAATCATTTGCGACTTTGCAAATTATTCTACGAAACACCTGGTGACAGCCCCTGTAAACGTCATTTTTTTTGGCAAGAAATGAGGTGGGAAGCGAATCAGTGATGAATCAATAATTCATCCCTTGAATTAGCGAAACGTTTTCGCCCCCAGTAGAAACCAAATACGAAGTATTTATGTGATGAGAAGAGTTTAAAAAATATAATTTACGGAATACCACGTGATATGACATGAAATTCTTTAAGCTGAGATTATAAGAAATGTATGGCGGACGGTGTTGAGAATCGATACTTATATCCTAAGAGTAAAAATGTGAAATGATTGTTGCTCCCTTTTTCTTGAGCTGAAAAGAAAAGTACCATCTTCAATTTTTCATCTTTGCAGTTATCAAGAAACCGCAGAAAAGCTCCATGAAATAACCGATCCTGATACTTACCACAAATATCTGCGGCCGTATCACAAAGGTGAAATACTGAATCAAAACATTTTAAGGTTCTGGGCTTTAACAAATTAAAACCTGATGAGCAAACAAGAATTATTTTTGTGGTAATCAACAGGTTACGCAGTTAATGTCACCGTCAAACTAACTGTGGTACATTTCGTAGCTGTAAGGGAAATGAACGAGGTATGAAAAACTAGGCTTATTGTAATCGAGTTAATAAGATTAATGACAAATACAGAGGTAAATGTTTATTTTTGTTAAAAAAGTGGGTCCTTATGTCCGGCAGTTTCGGAGTTTTGATTGGTTCAGCCACCATGCTATAATCTGAAAATTATCCTTTGTGTGCACATTGTATGGATATAATGATCACATGACCAAAAGGAGCGAGAAAAAATAATTTTTTTTTTTTAGTTTACAAAAACGTCTATAGCGTATGGGATTAGATGCATTGACTTATAAATTGATCAACGATTAATTAGGAAACGTGATATATCATGATCAGCTTTTAATGAGAAAGATTGAAACTGCACCATGCCTAACTCCCTTTTAGTTGCCTAAGAAGCCTCATCCTCTTCTACTTTTATAGAAGATTTTCGTTCCAGTTTGATGGACTTTGTTAAATATAGTCGAAACACTCTAAAGGAATAATAACTGGTTATTCTTAATGACAAAAGTAATGCTTATCCTGGTAAATCGATGCGATGGAAACAAATAGACATTACTGAGTGAAACACCACAAGTATTACTGTGTGGGTCTTATTAAAAAGAGTCAGATATACATGTAACAGTGAGAGAAGATCATTTGCTGCTGTTTCGCACACAGGAATTTTCCCTAGACCTTGTGATCTGGCAAAAGTGGATGGATGCACGGTTGAAACATTCGTTGAATTATTCCATTACTTTGCCTGCAAACGCCAAGCACCGGATTTGGCTCCCTGACACTTTTTTCTTGAACGTGAGAAGTGCTACTGTGCATGACGTCATTTCGGAAAACAGCAAAGTCTCAATAAGCCCCGCGGGTCTCGTAACTTACAGTTCAAGGTAAGTATACTTTGCAGTGAAGTTGTGAAGATAAATGGAATTCCCTTTATGTAAGAAGATATCACATCCCCTACAAGGTGAATCGAAAAAGTTCAATTCCGCGTTATCGTTAGCAACATATATAAACTACAGGTACATTCAGCCCGTTTTTGTGAAATGAATATGAAAGATCGACTATAAGCTTCTCACTTTAATGTAAGTGGGAATGGCTGCTATAGGCTTATTTAATTTCTCCTTGTTGGGAAAGTTTCACTGTGACTCGTTTGAAGGAATTCTAAAATGAGTGGTATCCAAGTGTTGCTAGTTAGAGTCTACCCATGACTTCCTGACTGGTTCTTCGAATATCCTAACCATTACACGCTTACGGAGACTCCTAAATCAAGCTCATCTGTCACACATCCTTCACAACGGTAGAGCCTTAATAAAACTGTTATTCCTTTGGGTTATGAAGCAACTTATGATGATTTATGTGAAACCTGGTGGTATTTACGGAATGAAAAAAGAATCGGGATACTAAAATCAGATTTAAAGAATGTTTCGTTGCTTCTATTTCTTATTCAAAGGTACACTTCTCTTTGCTCATTTGTAATTGTAAAATTAATATGATGAGTGGTTCAACTTTATTTTTAGCCACAAAAATAGGAAGTGTAGATGAATAGACATCCTCAGCTTCACCTGGTGGTTTAAAGCTTTTTTTTACATTTACGCATAGACCATGCTCATAAATCTAGAAAAATCCATTTTCTTTTACAGAATAACCATTAGTGCAGGATGCCCTATGAACTTAAGGGACTATCCAATGGATGAACAGATGTGTGACTTAGAGTTATCAACTTGTTGAGTATTCAAATAAATGATTTTATCCATTGTATTAAGTACTGCATATTCCTGACATCAACGAGCAAACCACTGCTTATGCACATTTTGATTTCCATACAGTGCATCGGTGGTTTGAGAAAACTGTTTAAAGTTCTTTGTGAAAATCGAGAAATTTCAGTAAAATTTGACTAATTTTTATTACTCGGGCATTTTCAGGATGTGTCGAAGAGACTGTGCCTGCTTTGCTTTTATGGCCGCTATATTTACCATTTTTTTATCTATTGAACCTCTTTCCTGCTTAGATGCATATACTGAAGAAAATCTCGAGTTCAGGTGGTTGAATAAAAGTCGAGATGCTCCGATAACTGTCAAGGACGAACATTTAGCCGAATTAGCGCTCATCGACACAGAAACCTTAACCAAATATGAGGTTTATGCTGACGGTGAGTAATAACGAAATCAAACTTGATTCTTTAACCAGTAATTCGAATTAAAAAAAGCATAAATTGTATAATAACATTACAGTATTCTTTGAAACTACTCTCTCACTTCTCCATAGAACAGACTCATATCTGAAAACGATGCTGTCGCACAGAATTTCAAAACTAATGTTTGCCAAGCAAATCTGCTTGCTTGCTTGATTCTGCGGAAAACAATCGGATTGCCTGAAGGGGTTTCCGAACAACTTCGGAATCCTAGTTGAGGTGTTAGTATAACAAAGTTTCTCCTCACCGTCATTTACTCTTTGCCTATATTTAGTAGTTTTGTCCTTGTGTTCTCCACAGAATCACTTTCTTATTGATTTCATAATCCAAGACCTGGATTTTTTTTTTTAAAGGAATTAGGATCCCTAATGTATTTACCTGTCTAAATTTTAAGTTGTTTTTGTACAAATCAAATTATGGATTATCAAGTATTGATTTTCGACCTGTGTTAGGATCACATACAAAACTCGTGGCTCGTTTTTGGTTCAAACGGCGTCTGGGATATGCACTTCTTCAAATCTACATCCCTACTATCATGCTTGTGGTCTTGTCTTGGTTTTCCTTTTGGATTCCTGAAGAATCTGTTCCAGCCCGTGTAGCGCTTGGAAGTACAACTGTGCTTTCTATTGTGACATTTACTGGCTCATTCAGGAGTTCTCTACCGAAGGTCTGTTATTAGCAACAATCCTTGTCCTTGATACTTGTATTTTATTTTAATTTTTTTATTGTTTTTATTTTACAAACTGGCAATGGGCATTGCATATAGGTGTCCTCGTTAGTCAACTGTAACACGAACTTTTAGTGAGTCTCGTAATAGTATACTTTCAGTTTATTGATTATTTCGGGAGTCTTGTTGTGATTCAGTTTTAGCAAAGATCCCTTATAGTAAAGCACACTTTTAATTGCTGTTCGCAGTTATTAAACATTAAGAAACACCATCAGATTTCCGCGATAAAATCTGCATCAAACTTGCCTAGCTAAGGTCATATCCCTTATAGGGAATCATTCCGTAAGTAGAAGTTACTCGTGCTGTATTTTTCACATTTCAGGTATCATATATAAAAGCAGTGGATGTCTACTTTATCGTTTCGTTTGCATTCGTTTTCGCGGTAGTCTTTGAGTACGTTTTAGTTTTGCTTAACACTGGAATAAAGCGCCAAAGACGTGTCAGTAGTACATATCTCTCAGGAAATAACAATGAGGCAAACGGCTCAAAGGTAATACTAGCGTTTCGCTTAGACACAGCTTTTATCGAGGCATGTATACAATCTCTTCTAAAGAGATAAACTTATTCGTGGAAGTTTATGAAAATGGGGCCTAGCGATGAGAATCTATTCCACGGATAAATTGAAAACCAACTTTCTCAACCAAAAGAACAAACCTAAACCAGAACCTTTTCGGACACTTTATCGTTGACTACATTTTTACTGCCTATTTTGAAGAAGAAAATCTTGACCAATTTATCAACTTAATTAACTTATTTCATTCAGCACTTCGGTAAATTTACTTGAGAAATTTGGAAACTTCAGCCACCTTTGTAGACATCAATTTATTTATAAATGGTAGCGGCTACAAAACATGAGAATTTTTAAAAAATCGTGACTGTACCGACTCCTTTTACAAATGCCTCTAAAGCAAAGAGAATTCCATTGGTATTGACCCTCTTCCTCAACAATCTTGCCCTCGAAAAACGTGATCTTAGTTGACTTCAAACACTCGTTTCCTTGTGACGAGACAAGAATATTGTTAATTTTCCTCTAATAGAAGTTGTATCAAAACGGAAGGACTCCTAGTTATTTTGAATGCTCGCGCACGCAAAGAAGTACCGATCCATTCATATATTATTATTTTAAAGACAGATAACATCTGGACTTTCTCTCCGCTAAGGCAAAACTGAACAAAATTTACCTTTCAAGCTGCACCTTCGCTCCCTCGGGAAGAAAAAACGTTTCTCATGTAATGAATCCCAGTTTCATTCAATACCACGTTAAACTCACTGAATCAAAACACAACCCACCATCCTCCACTTTGCTGGGGCAAAACTCTTACGGTCAAAACTGTCTAGGAGGCCTATCTACCTTTATAAACTTATATTTAATGACCAAAAAAAATTTTTTTAATGTTGCACGCGCTCGCTATTTAACTCAAGAAGCTAGAGTCGCTCTCGACTATCGCCTCGAGCGACTCTTACGCTTCTTACGCTTCTTACGTGCATAGTAACCTCTCGCATGCATCATTATATAACCCTGTAGTGTAGTACACTGATACATTGTAGCGCAAGAGTTACCTTTTTATTACACCAAAAATGTTTGTGTAGACAAAACAAACGCGCGAACACAAAAATTAGTCATTACATTTGCTAAGACATTACATTTGCTCAGGTCTGCAGCGCTCACCCTTAAAAAAGTAGTAAACACAGAATTGCCCAATCAGACCACGTGCTCTACGTTGATTATGTTATAACATCGGAAAGTTGCATTTGTTGAACTATGTAGTGAAAAATATAAGCGAAATTTTGTCTTGCTTGTAAAGCAATCCAAAGTTTCCCGCGTTATGTGACCTACCTTTGCGATGAATAAATTATTTTTAGCCCTTAACGATGTTACACGTACACAAACCATTTTCATCCTGTTTGTGTTGTCTGGACCATGATCGACTTTGGTGCATTCAAATGTTGAAGTTGTCTTTAACCTTCCAACATCCTTTTTTTTTCTTTAAATGACAGATAGACGTGTTTAATAGCATACAAGAATTGCAGGATATCAAAGTAGAGAGTCTGGAATCTTCGAAAGAAAAGTCTAAGAAAGGGAAACATAGCTCAGTAAGGAAGGCCAAAGAGTATATGCGCTATGCTTTTGTAAGGAATGAAGGTAGCTCAATTGACCGAGTATGTCGTTATATTTTTCCTTTTTGTTACGCTGTATTTAATGCGGTTTACTGGGCTTATTATGAGTTGTCGACATTTGGAAAGCATCCACCTTCCGATATGTAACAAGTATGTGACTTCAGACAACACTCAGGAAAGGTTAACATTGAAGACAGATTAAATAGATTCACTATACGCATGCTTTGTTTTTTCATCTTACTTACCAGGATTTTATTCATCGAGGTTTGATAGGTGCACATTACATTTAAGACAGTGGTTACCGATCATGCGTATGAAGATCAACTTAAATTCTTCAACCACCTGATATTCCAATTTCAGTGAGGGTTGCACGATCCCTGGACTTCGCAGTTTAGAGTTTCATGGCAAAATTCAAGAACCAAGAGTTCAGTATCCTCTTTACCACCCCCAACACGGCTAGGCAATCAAAAGTTTCGATAAAACCTACTGGCCATTCTGTCTAATATCAAAATACCAATTAAGCTACAGAGATAAGATTTCGGAAAGAGTCTGAGAGTTCTAAAGAAGGTACGGCCTTCATCCTGCGTTGAAAAGAGACACACGGTGTTCTCCGACCTCACTGAGACATAGATTCTAAACCAAGAGAATATGAACTCTTTTTTCTAAACAGTAACAAAATAAAATATACTTTTGAATAGGTTAGTAGTATTAGTAAGAAAAACTATGATATTTCCTTTTCATGGCATGAATAATTTCGTTTGATATCGAATTAAGCTTTGGAAGAGCCGCCAGGCGTCTCTAAAAGTGTTGCTCTTTGCCTTCTGCGAGTGGTGGTGGAGAAAGTGATTTTTTTATGCAATTGTAGTTGCTAACTTAAATCTGAGCCGATCTTTATTGTTAAGTACACCAACAAAAGATAATTACTCAACGGCAGCATTCGGATTCCGTAGGACTCGGCGTCAATGAAGAAAGTGGCAATACGACTAAAAGATCCAGTGTACTCATCATTTTAAAATTCTCATACATTCTAGATCTGTAAAGGGGAGTTTGAAGGATCTCTTTCATATGCATGAATTTGAGACGGAATCGAAACGAAGATAGCTGATAGCGCTCTAATTGGACTGTTTAATATTTGCTCTTCTCTATGTTTCAAAATAGCATAAAGAAAAACTTAAAGACCTCTGTTAAAACTTTCTTCTTACAGAACATCACTTTTAAAGCGGGTCACGTGAAAAAAATTAACCAAAACGCATTATAGGAGACGAACAATAATGCCAACTAAATTCCGTTGAACCAGTCATTGCTTAGAGCTAAATAAGTAGCGATGATAAAAAATTTTGGTGAAATCCAATGTTCGCTTCCTGTAATCGGATTGGTCAGTTTTGTTTATACAGTGAGCACCGGTAATGGAAATCGCACTTTATTTGGCCGTTATGAAAAACCTTTAGTTAGTGTTTCTCATGTTACAGATCTTGCTTCTTAAAATTTCTATATCTACTTAACTTGCAATCAAATAATTCAAACGAAGACTACAACGAAACTCTCGTATCCTAACCGATGTTGCGTAAATTCCTTCTCGTTTCCAAGACTATATATCAGTACTCTCAGTTTGAATATCTGAAGTAATAACCAATGTTGAACACAAAGAAACTCAAAGGAAAAATTATTCGGGCAATCCTGTCAAAGATATCCACCTCACTATTTGACCCAAGAGCTAAGCAGAAGCTGGGGATACATTGTATGATCGTTGTTCTGGGTGGATTGGTCGTGTAAGGACTGTGTTGGATAGCTGGTCCAGGAACGTTCTGAAACAAAATCACACGAAACAATGGATGTCAACTGTAAGAATCTCTCCTGGGCTTACATTCAAGACATTATAGAAATATGTTGAGCCATGTAAGCATCCATGGACAAGTTTGGTTTTCATATGTCTGTAAAAGTCTTGGCTTGTGGTTATTTACATAGGAAGAATAAGAAACGAGTAATTTTTGTTATTGTTATCGTTAGTTGTTGTTGTCATCCGGGCTTTTCTTTCACTTGTACGATCAATGTAGAAAGGTTTACAAATTGATAGTTAAAAAATGTATTCCCACTCCTCAACCAACTTCTTCCATAGTCGTCAAAGGTTCCTCATTTTCATGTTTTATAACGAAAAATTTTAAGTATTCCTAACGATCGGCCTGCTCTGTCTGCGTTACTCAGTACTGACCTGACGTGGGTAAGAACTTCGAAGGACAGATTTCGGTGGTAAACTGTATGACGATACTGGACGCACTGGTAAACTATACGAAGACGGTGACCTCTGAGGTGGTAGGCTGTGTGCTGACCTCGAGCGGGATACAAGGGGAGTGTTTGTATGATTTGGAGCTGCATTAGCACTAAAATTTTCTATCTCCATTTCCGCTAATGCATAATCTTTTGATGATGAATTTTGTTTCTTCCTTGCCTTCATTCGTTTTCTTTCGCTATGCATTAGAACTGCTACGTATTCTAGTAGGACACCAAAGACGAAGATGAAGGAGACAATGAGATATGAGTCGATTGCCTTGATGTAAGAAACCTTTGGAGAGATAACTATAGCTTTATTATTACTGCTTACGGACAATTTTTTTGCGTGTGTGTGGACAAGCGACCATGCCCTCTTTCCGAAAATGATCTTTGCGCAGATGCAAAATTTTTCCAGGCTAAAACCAATCATCTCATACCTCCTCTAATTCACTATATTTCCTACAACAACCAAATGTGGGGAGCTGTTTTTAACACTTCGAATGTGATTGGATGAGAGCATTCCTCAACATTACAACAGGAAACCAATGACCAAATCTGGGAAAGTGGTGGCTGCCTGCAGCCAGAACTTTCCAATTATTTCCCTTTGCCTCTAAGTCATGCATCTTTTCTATCAAAAAGATATAAGAAGGGTAAAAGTAAGATTAATGCAAGAAAATCATTACCTTACCTTAGGGACAGAATTTCTGAGTGAACCCATGAGTGTAACAATGGTCAAAACTGTGGTAATCCCAAGAGCAATTCTCGCGGGAACTGCGTCTTTAGAAATCCAGAATGACAACCAAGAAAGAACGACGATGAGGAACGTTGGAGAATAGATTTGAATGAACGAATATGCCAGTCTTCTTTTGAAAACAAACTTTGCGACCAAATGGGTGTAAGTACCTGTAAAGATAAAAAATCTTCAGTTTGCTACATTTACTGGAGACAAAACAAAACAATAAAGTTCTATACAATACATATATCGAACAGGGGCTATGACTCGTTCAAAATGTGCATGCGTCATGAAATGATTAAGTGAATTACAAACATAATTTGAAATGAAGTATTTTGAAATTATTGATAGTGAAAAATTAAATGAAACCATGATTCTTGAGAATACCTTTCTTAAGATTGCATTGAAATTCACTTAGACTTGCTGAGTTATCAACTTAATTCAACAGCAAGTTAAACTTGGTAGAGCTAACATATATCCATCTCCCTAGAGATTATAATTCGTTTTTCTTAAGCTAAATGGGGATTTCACATACTAAGGACCATCTTGATATAGACTCTTATAAACTGACCAACTCGTTCACTCCAGTGTAACTTAACTGATGAAATGGAAGTTTAATTAATTTACTTCTATGAACTATCCATTATTTTTTGTCGTCACTAAACAACGACTACTTCAACTACCTAAAGTAAATCTTCATGCAACATAAAGAGGGTAAAATTCAAAGGAGACATTTTTTCGATTTAAGAAAACTACACGTGCTTTTGTAATTAGACTCATAACGGCATGACACGTTTTAAACGAAATTGCCAATCTTGAAAAAAGAAATTGAGACAGTATAAAAAGGCATATCTACTTACTTTAGTTACAACAGAAAGTACTCTCACTTTGAATTTGTAATTAATGTTTTCGAATCACTGGTTTGGTTAAATGAATGTGAATCCATGGGAAAAGGTGAATGAGGAAAAAGATTCCTTAAAGGCATACCTATGACGTATTTCACAAGCTTGCGCTCACTTTGCGCATTAGCCAGCTCGAACTCTGACATTTCATCGTCCAATATTATAACTGCATTCTCGTCGTCCCAATGGTAATCCATGTCATTAATGTCATATGAGTCTAGAAAAACCAAGAAAACAGTAAATTGCCGAATACGTTTTGGAAAATAAGGGAAAAGATAATTCAAGCAAAAACAATAAACCAAGTGAACGTCTTAAATGTCAGAGCTGATTGAAATCTAACATTTCTGTCGATTATCATTGTATTACCCACCGAAAAAGTGATGAGGACATTTAAAACCAAGACATCCTAAATAAATTTACAAAGAAATTTGTCATAGTTAGAAAGGTTAATAATACTCACAGCTTAAAATTTCAAGAACACACGTCTGAGTGTCTAGTGGATACTCTCTTAAATTCATCCTACATGACGCAGAAACTGTAAGCCTTTAGGATAAGAAGAGAAAGAAGACGAAAAAGTCAATCGTTTTTACAAGTGGTGTGACAATCTCAAAATGTACAGCAAAGGCAACGAAGCTGGATTGACTTCACGAAAATGATAAGTTTCTGGCTATTTAGAGGTTTAAATTCTTAGGAGAGAGATCAAAATATAACGTTTCGCGGTTCGTTTCAAAGGATACAATTGAACATTTAGAGTAAAAGCTTCTCACCTCTCACTGAGTTCAATATCCCCGTTCGGTTTAATCACAACTCTGCTATTAGCAGCAGGAACATGGTGAAACTTGGCTGTCTTTACATTCAGAAAGAAAGTGTCTGGAAGCCAGAACTTGACCTTTTCACTTCCAGAAAGAAGAATTGGTTTCTTTAGATCATGCCTTAATCGTGGGTCGTTCCAAGCTTGCTTGAAAAATATATCTAGGGTATATTCCTATCAAAGAAACAAACAGTTTATGAAATATATGTTTGTTTTGTATTTTTTCCTAATTCACAGAGAATTGTCTAAATTAATCGCTCAAAAAACTCGTAAGTATGATGAAAAAAATACATCAGCTGGACTGAAAAGCTGCTTGTCCTCCATACAAGTGCATTCCTCACGAAGGTCGCTCTACAGCTGGTTTCCTCTACATTTCAACATTTTAAAAAATCACTTTGTTACGTACCATGTTTATTTCCTTTATTGCACCAAACGAAACGACTGTCATGTAAACTGAAATGTTCAAAGGTGGACCTGTGGGGGAATGATCTCACTGATGAGATTCAACAACAATGCTCGTGCCTTCGGACTTTATTGAATAATTGTCTGACTAACTGATGGATTGCTCGACTTACTGACGACTAACTGTACAACTTACTGACTCAAACAAGTACCTGGACAACTGACTGACTGAACAACTTACTGACTGAACAACTGACTCACTGAAAGACCGACTGCTTTCTGACAGATTGAATGACTGACGGAGGGATGAGCTAAATGACTACTGTGTAAATAAGTAACTACGTGACTGAGAGTCTGCCCTATCGAATGCGTGAATGTTTGACTAACTATGAATTGAAGAAGTTATTGACGAACTGACCGGCTGACTTAGGGAAAGACTACAGCTGCAATGACTGACAGATTGACTTACCAACTTATTGTCTGACGAACCTACTACATTGGTGACTGGCAAACTGGATAACTGGTGGACAGACAAAAACTTTGACATAAAGAACCACTGATAGCCTGAGTGATTGACAGGCTGACCTATAAACCGACTGACTCACTTAGTCATTGACTGAAAGTCTAAATGAGCAAAATAACACCCTACCTTCGTGGTAGGGCCGTATCCGCTTGTCGTATTTAGGAGTTTTCGAAAGTGAGTCGAGAACTTTAGTTGTGTTCTCATAACTTCTTCTAAAGACACAAATTCATATTAAATGACGCTAATGTGACACAATGGTCGAATGTTTGTTTTGTGCAATAATTTTTTTTTTTGCTAATTAATGTGACTTGACTTGCAATGGTTTTAAAATGGTTTAAATTCCCCGTTAGTGATTAAGTGTCATTTTTACAGTAGACTGGCTGCACGATACTTACAAAGTTTTATTTTAACGTTTTTGTTGGATGTTCTGTTATGAATTGGCTCAAGTCAATCTCCAGGGTTATTCCTCTTCCCAGTTCTCGTCTTGTTTGTTCACATCGCCGAGAAAACTCTCACCCGTGAAAGTACGGGGAAAAAAGAGGGCTTCAGAACCACAATTCGGCTCAATATTAAAAATTTTCACATCAAGAAGTTACCTCAAACTGGAAGAACTCTCAAATACCGTTTGATATGATGAAAATAGACCAGAATAAAAGGAGTTAACCAGAGATGAACGAGAAAGTTGAGAATGGAGAAGATTGACAAGAGTTTTGTGCGAAAAACTTGAATAGTTTAGCGTTAATTTTTTTAAACCGAACACATCGGGAAGCAGCCGTGATCAAAATTTATGAAGATTTCTTTGCACAAGTGTTTCTTACCTTCCAAAGTCTTTGCTTGCCCGTGACGACAAGAAAAAGATAGCTGACATAAAAACTGATATCTTCCTCATCACTCACTCAGCTGTAAGAAAAGGAATAGTTTGAATTACTGCTTCAAAAGGTATATGTATCAAATAAATTTGACAGAGGAGGATTTTAGTGCCCACAGCTGAAAACAACAATCCGTTCCCGCGATGGCCTTTGCATATTCCCGTCATATTTGCGCATATATGATATTTTCTTTAATTCTTGGGGGGAGGGGGGGGGAAGAGATGCACGGTTGAGGATGAAAACAATAACGAGGGATCTTTTTGGTTGGAAGTTAAACGAGAGTTTTCAATCTGTGATTGGTTTTTTACATCTCGTTTTTCTTTGAAGTTTAATATAGACAAGATTTACTCTCAAACAACGGAACGCCAGTTGTATTTCGGGATGGCTTGTCAAGTGGCATAAAAACTTAAAGAAAAGCCATCAATTTACCTCGTGCGATGAAAGATGTACATATGATCTTGACCGACTCAAACACATGGCTGAATCAACGTCTATTGCTCACCCGGCCCATACACACACACACATTCGAACGAGAACTTGACTAGCAATCGATTATACTGACTGATTTAAATCTCTACGTTTACCAAGCGGAGATGGAACAAAGGCATTAAAGCAACAAAGCTTTTGTTCTCAACAGTGTAACGCTTATGATTTTGGTTTTACAACCTGGGTGTACTACGAAAAAACTCTTTGAATTGTGGTGACTACCAGTTTAAATGAGCATGAAACTTTCATTGATTATCAAATCCCGCTTATCTGAGAAATAACGACAGTGAAATCCAGTTGAAACCAGCATTATTTGTGTCGTTTCGTAAAGTTTACTGACCAGCCATTTTGAATGTTCAAAAAAGTTTTAATCGCTTGTTTTAATCCTTTCGTCGTTTTGAAAACGACATTTTCCACCGAATGACACGATATAGTATCTACATCCATAACGAAGGTGCAGTTCTATTCTCTCGGATAAGAGAAACTTTGTGTTTTTTCAAAAATGTTTTTTTTATAGTTATTGAGAAGCACAAATAATTTACCCTCAAAAATTGCCAGAAGGAAAATATCAATCCAAAGACAAAATAAAATATTTTTTATCATTTAAGTACAGTCGTCTAGAGAATCTTCGTAAGCGTGTTTCATCTCACATAAATTTTGATATTTTCTTGTCACGTCTCGTCATTGATTTTGAACAAAACTGATTGTAAACAAGCAATTCGTTTTCGTGAAACATTGCCTCGTTTTCCAACGAATAAACTCTCATTCCATCATATATAAAACGTACTCACTCACCATTTCAAGTAGTTTTGCCCTTACGATCTTTTAACGACCTCGTTATCTTCGTCTATTACCGTTATTTTCTTCATTATATTTTCTAGTACCTGTATGAAAATTAAAATTTAATATTTCAAATTTGTGTTTATCTTCATGTGGTTAGTTAACGAATATACAGTTCAAATGATTGGTTTGAGAAGATCTTCTATTGTTAAAAATACAACAATAATCAACACTTTATTTCATCGTTGTGTGTCATATTAATTTTATCTTTTCTCCCTGTCTTCAAGCTTAATCACATGCCAAAATTACATGTATAGGAATATAAAAAATTATTCTTAAGGGAGTCGGGCTATCGGATCACTCTTCGTTGAATTGTTTATTTGGAATGTGTCGCTGTAAACTTTGTGGAGTGGGTAAGAGCACTGTCAACCGAGTACAGCTGCTAACCACTAAAAAAGGAAGTTCAATGTTCAAACAAAGAGATTATCATAGAAAGAAAAAATGGAAGTTTGTGGCGACTGGGGACGTGCCAACAATGACAAATGTCTGTTTACACAATTATCTGCCCTAAACTATAAAAATTGTCATCTGTTCGAAAATCTGGTTTGTGTGCACAAGAGCCGTACTTTAAGAAAGCATTCAGTAACTAAGTGAAAAAAAATAATCCTTTATCATCTAAAGATCTCCGTCCATGATTGCGATGCTTGGTTTAACAGATAATTTGAGTGCTCTTGGTCACTCGTTAGACCACGTAATGAAATTTTACGCCTTACTTGTGAGCAAATGATGAACAATTCTTAATCATTTTCTTACTGAGTGCATCTTTTATGTCCGATGAATAGCGTCAGATGAAAATTTCTCGCATATGAATGCAACTTAAAATACAACTAATCGTTCTGCAAGAAAAGGGTAACGAGACACTGATCAGCTCATCATCTTGATGAGTGAGAAGAAAAGGCATGACAAGTAACTGTATTCATTGTATGGCAAGGTATTCCAAAGGTAGATCCGAGCGTTCTGTTTGGTTCTTACCTGGTCCGTATTTTGCCATACGGACTGTTTACACGGAAACAGACATAAGCTGTGTATTTTTGTTCACGAAAGTCGGCGAACTCAAAATAAACAATTTTGGTGCGAGCATCATATAAGAAACTACTCACTAACCCCGCTTGCTTGAGCTCAAATGAGATACATTGACCCTCGTTGTTGAAAGGACCGAGCCCAGCAAGGGCCTTACAAAAAACTACCTCGGGCAAATAATCCCTCTATGGCCCTCACGATCGGTTAGTAAGAAGTTAGCATTTTTGAAAGATTCGATAGCTTATGCCTGTATTGTCATTTACAATGATTGTGATCCCTTGCCTTAAATTGCTTTCAATGATTGTGCATAACTCTAAAATTTACTTAAGGGTTGAGTCTGTTACTCTTTCATTTTCGGTAACATAAACCCTATTTGTTTTTATTCGTAAAGCAAAGCTCGAGGACTAGTAATATCCAGATTTGTCATATACTCAGATTTAATTAAACAATTTTTTAATTCAAGTTTTGCACTTTAGAAGAGAAGCAATGAATGATATCTGCTCTTTAATTCCCGAGAAGTGGTTTTCTTAAGTTGTATCTCCCCGTCAATGTCTTGCTTAGACTTCCGAAAAGAGATTCTTTTTTTCGTCCAAATCAAAACAAAAGTTTTATTTTGACTGTAATACTTTTAAGAGAGACTATCACGAAAATGCGCATTTCAAATGGAGACATCAGAGTTTTTTTTCTGTTTTATATTTCTGTTCTTTAAATTTATCTACTTCATTTTTTCAAATTTTTTTTGTTATCAAAAGTGCACTCAGTCAAAATAATACTGATCTAAGAGTCAGTCATTTTTTGTTAAGAAAGAAGAGTAGACGGATGAGCATTAATAAATGCATGGTATAAACAAAATGGAAAAGAAGCGAAGATCAAGAGAACAACAAAAAAACATCTTAAACCTATCCTTAGATTACATTGCTTAACTTCTTATTCTTTGATGAGTAACCCTATGTGGTTGCCTGGCGTAACAAAGGTGTTATCTGATTTTATAAGTTTGTTCTGTTGTCTTTCGACAAGGTCACTTGATGTGGAACGCAACGTTTCGACTGCTTACTGCAAGTCTTCTTCAGGCGATGGGGTCGACTGGTTGTGGCACAGCATTATATATCATGGTGGTCTGTTGTGAATGGTGCATTTCGATCCGGCGATTGTTCCCATGTATCATGGCTTCCCCAGGCGTTGGCTGGTTTTTCGTGCGTCGTTGGTTTAGATGTTTTCTTAAGCTTATTGTAGGCATCCACGCTTCCGGTATTTCGGCTCCGCTGTCCCTGTTAATGTTATTTGGGTCGAGTCTTATGTGAATTGCCTCCTTCTCTTTCCTTGTGTACCAGTGCCTTTCTCGGTCAATAAGCTTGGTTTCGTTCCACAGCGGCTTGTGTCCGGTTCCGTTGGCATGTTCTGAAACCGCGGAATTCTGAGTGCGTGCGAGTCATATATCACTGTCGTGTTCTTTCATTCTTTCTTGCATGGATCGTCCTGTTTCCCCGATGTAGACTTTGCCGCATGTGCATCGTATCTTGTAGACTACGCCATCTTGCTTGTTTGGATCAGCGGGGTCTTTTTGTCTGACCAGCCGAGATCTTAGTGTGGTGTCGGATTTAAAGACGGTGCGTATTTCTTGTTGCTGTAGGTGGCGGCGGAAGGGTTCTGGGACTTCTTTGATGTATGGAATCACTGCGGTAGACTTGAATTCTGCTGTTTCCCTCTCGGGTGTTGGATTCCTGGTTTTGGTCACCTTCTTTAAGAGGAACGGAGGGTAGCCGTTGGCGACGAGAACTGTGGATAGATGTTTTTTTCTCCTGGGCTGTTCTGGATGGCTTGGTGATGCGTTTAGCTCGGTCATGTAAACGCTTGAAAATACCGCGTTTAACAGATTGTGGGTGGTGAGAATCATAGGCGAGCTACTGGTCGATGTGTGTGGGTTTTCTATATACACTTGTGAGTAGTTTACCGTCGGGTTTCCTTGTTACGAGGGTGTCGAGGAAGGCGATCTTGTTGTCTACCCCATTGCCTGACGAAGACTTGCAGTAAGAAGTCAAAACGTTGCGTTCTACATCAAGTGACCTTGCCGTGAGACATCAGAACAAACTTATAATATCATCCAACTACCACGATGAACAACAACCTATTTCATAACAAAGGTGTTATCTGTCAAAGCATTCTTAATTTTTGCTTTCATTTGCTAATAAAAGGGCTTTTAAGTGATTCAACATGAGCCAAATTAAACGAGTTTTGGACAGTTAGAGGCTTGTATGGACGTGACGCCCTTGTGATAAAAGACAGTAAATAGAGTAAACGAGAAGGAGTTTATACAAGTATAGAAAGCAATTCAATACATGGCAGTGTTAAAATTAATTCCTTTACCGGGCTCGTCAACATTATCGAACGTTAGGGAATTTTACATTTCACCCATTCTTTCCACTCTTCACTCTACAGTATATACCGTCAAACTATCCGTAATAGTAATTAAGACGGGAGTTGTATACATTCCATATGTTACTATAGTGGTTAATCTTGTTGAAAGCATCCAAACCTTGCAGGGCATTTCACTCGATTTGCTTAGGTAAAAGAATGTAATTTATGATACTAACGTTCCATTGAAAAAACATGGTAGATCAGTAAAGCTAGATAAAAACTAAATCATTTCATTAACCTGGATAGCAGACCTTTCTGTTTCCATTGGAGTGTGAAGAACTTGAGCCAAGCGTAGGCTTGGAGCGAAAGAGTGCAAGAAAGTTAACTTACTTTTGGTCAAAATATTTTTAGTTGAAAAATACAAAGACTGTTAAGTCTGTCGAAACCACCAAAATTTCAACCTTATTTGAATTTAAAAGCAGAAAAGCTAAGTTTTAGTTTCAACTTTTCCAAAACAAGGTGATTAACGTCCCATCATCCAATAGAAATCGTAACAAGGTGTAACGGTAATTTGAAAAGTCGTATAAAAATTGCCTGAGGCCGTACTCTTCGAGAAAAATCTTTGCGACTGGCAGGCGATTGGCCAAGACTTGAAACGTTTAATAACGTAACAATTGGCATCTGTTTATCCTGAGACCTCCCTAAATCCGAAAACAAAAGATTAATTTCAATATTTCAAAGTTTAAGTCTCTGTTTTGCATGTTTTATTTCCCATTTAAACGCTGTTTGAATTCAGGCAAGGTATATCACTGTAAAGCTACTATCATCGTAAATTTGGTGAGAATTGAACAAAAAACCTTTTGCTATAAAAATATGAAATTAAACCATTTGGTGTACGTTTTTGTCTGTTTGGACACGTACGAGGCCTCATCGAAAGGTAAGCTCTTAAGCTCTTAAACGGTGTTACAGTCAAAAGAACGATAATCATGTTTATTTCTCACTTCCTTCGCTGCGTCTTTTTTTCTTGCTTTTGGGGTTTTATCTTTGCCCCTAGGATTCATATCATCAGGTCTCAATTCTTAAGTAAATAAAGAACTTGATATTTCTGCTTGTAATTTTAGGTTGCCATGGTTCAAATTCATGATTCTGAGCGTTTTACTTAAAATTCATTAGCCACAATTCTTCAGTAATTAAGAATTATTCGTTTTTTTCATGCGTCGAAGAAAGCATGTTTCAGTTTTTTTTTTCTTTCGATAAGTGTTCAGTTTCCGTTTAGACTGGTGTCGTATCAAGAATACTATGATTGGCGAAGCGATATAGCCAGTCTTATTTAAATGCTAAACATTATCTTATGAAGGAAAAAATAAGTACTGCTCTTATTACAAATGAAAAATTCTGGAAATCGCATTTTTTTTTCTCTATTGTTATTTAAATCAACATTTAGCTTTATCGTGTTAAATGGTCTGACTTACTACTTTTTAAATGAATCGTTGTCTCATATTTCACTTTTTATCATTGGTGATGAGATCAGAGTGTAAACCTTCGTCAAATCTATTTATAACTTAAATCATTTTCAATTATCCGGTTCTGGAAAAGGTCTGGAAATTACATATTTCAGTTTTATTCGACATTTTTAATTCATCATCGTCATGCTCCAAATACAGTTTACTTCTTTTAAAATATCTCGTTCTCAGTTACTAGGGTGTGATAAGAGCATATAGAATAGTGTTGCAGCGTTTAAATCATTTATTTAACGGAAGACTGATGTTTAGGAAGGTTGCCGCAAGTAACGTGTCTCATCGCTTCCTTTCGCTTCTTTCCTGCTTTTGCAATCCGGGCCAAGGTGTGATTTCCTTTAGGTCAAGAAATAATGTTTGATAGGTCTCTGAGAGAAATGTCGTGTCTGCAAGTGTATGTATGCCTAAAGCTGTGAAAAAAAATTAACGAGAATTGGCCATTGTACGGCACATGAATATCAAGACACGCTGTGCAGGAACTCTAATACTTAGCCTTTTTAAATTGCCTTTTCAGATAGGAAATATGAAACATAATAATGCCTGCGGGTGTCAAACATCCTGTTTAAAGAAAGTGTTTTGATATTGGTTTAACTACGACGCGTAGAAGATAAAGCCACTCTAAAGAGTGAGAATGTTCTAGAACGAATTTTAATTTAATTTTGCAAAGCAAAACGTATTGGAAACAATATTCCACTCAATATTTCCCTAAAAGCAATGTAAACAGTACTTTCCAAATAATCTTCACGAAGAATCGAATTTTCTTTGTACTGCATAAATGTTCTTTTATTTGTTCCTGTGTTTGCAGTTAGGGAAAAGGAATAAGCTCTATTTTGCCATAGATAAAGATTTTCTTTTGAAACGCATTAAAATAACATAGGGAAGTACTTGAATCATTATAGCAGGCAAAAATACCATGTTTAACCATAGAAGTTATTGGAATTACAAATTGAGCCGTTTTGGATAATGCAACACTTTTAGTGTTATTCAATTTGCAGCAAAAGTCTGTACAAAGCATCATTTTTAATACCTAGGGTAGTTGTATTTTATATATGTTTGGTACTGGGTTTTGGTGTTCTACCCGACCGACAGACTTGATCCAATATCATGATTATCTGCTAGGCGCAATTAGAAGTCAACTCAAAAAAATTGAAATTAAAACCAGTCAAAAGGATAAGCATTTTCTCAACAAACCGCCATTAAAAAACCCAGATCAGTGTTATTCAGGCGAACGCGAAACAATGGGCTCTTTTGCAGCGAATATTATCAGACTAGATCAAAGATCTGGAGATATTCAGTGTCGTCCAGATATTTCAAACGTCAGAGTAAACACGTATTGTGATAAGGTAGCTTATAAGGGACATTCGAGTTTTTCGATGGCAAGTTCCAAACTCGAGATAGTATTACTCGCGGTCACAATTTATAACTTGCGATGGCGACTTACAACTTGCAAGTTGGGAGTATTTTTGTCTTGGTTTTAATTACACCGAAATTCTGGCCACTTTAGCGTTTTATTTCGTTTTACACTTACAAAGAAAGAAAAAACCGCCACCAGCAGTTGCTGTTAACGACTCAAGGGAACGAAGAAGTAAGTCGCCATCGCAAGTCATAAGTCGCCATGGCAGGTGCAAAGTCGCGATCGCAAAATATAAGTCGCCATCGCAGAAATAAGTCGCGATTGCAAGTTAAAAATGGCCATCGCAAGTGCTAAGTTTTCATCGCAAGTCAAAAGTCGCCATCACAGAAATAAGTCGCCATGGCAAATTGTAAGTGGCCATCGCAAGTTCTAAGTCGCGATCGCAGGTTATAAGTGGCCATCGCAAGTTTTAAGTCGCCATCGCAAGTTTTAAGTCGCCATCGCAAGTACTAAGTCGTCATCACAAATCAGAAGTCGCCATCGCAGAAATAAATGGTCATTGCAAGTTCTAAGCCGCGATTGCAAGTTATAAGTCGCCATCGCAAGTTACAAGTCGCCATCGCAAGTGCTTAGTCGTCATCACAAGTCAAAAGTCGCCATCGCAGAAATAAGTAGCCATCGTAAGTTCTAAGTCGCGATTGCAAGTTATAAGTCGCCATCGCAAGTGCTAAGTCGCCATCGCAAGTGCTAAGTCGCCATCGCAAGTTCTAACCAGTGATTGCAAGTTATAGGTCGTCATCGCAAGTGCCAATTGCAAGTCGCCATCGTAAGTCATAAGTCGCCATCGCAAGTTCTACTTCGCCATTGCAAGTTCTACGTCGCCATCGCAAGTTCTAAGACGCTGTCGCAGAAATAAGTCGCCATAGCAAGTTTTAGGTCGCGATTGCAAGTTATAAGTCGCTATCGCAAGTTGCAATTTTTGCAGGTTAGCAACTTACAATCGAAGTAACAACAGGGATTACAGGAAAAATAAAGATACGGGTAATTCAAAATCAAACACCATGCAGTGTTACGGTTGTAAAAAAGTCAATGCTAGAGAAAAACTGTTCTTCAGTGGTCAATGCTTCCTATTACCTGGAGAAGCAAAACAAGCAAACCAATGCAACAGCTTATGCAAAAGTAAATGCAGCTCTTTGGAATTTCCGCTTGATACACATGGTATTCATGATACTGAAGATAAAACCGGCTACTGAATGTTTCCATCTCATGTCTCTGCACTGGATAAGAGAAATTAATGGATCAATATCAGTATCTGGGCAACTGTGTTAGGGGAGGGGTAGGTGGGCAGTTTCCCAAATACTGATCAAAACTGTAGGTTGTAAATGCAAATTTTCTGAATAAGACTAAGAAAGTTTGGCCGGAATGTTCGACCTCCAAATCTAAGCACCAACTTCGTAGCTACCAAAGTTACACAAGACAAGCTGGAAAGCTCTTCTATTGTTGCACAGTTTTTCTGTATAACATTTCATCGTAACCTACAAGCTACAAGAGAAATATCCTTCAAACTTAGAATAATTCTTATACTTGAAAGTCTATGTCATTCATAGGCGCGGAAAGATGTTATGAGAACTATTATTTGTTTTAGCATTTTGGTAGTTGTCATTTTCTAGAACTCTTTCTCTTGCAAATTTGAGAGTCTAGGATTCCGGCGTTTTGATAATTATCTACAGTTTTGCTTCTAATTTAATGTTATTATTTCAGCGACAAATAGTAGTAGCATCTTGAATGTCCACAATTCATTCTCAAATGTGTATTGCCGCAATTTGGAATTTGCATCCTTAAAAAACTGATCCTACTCGTAAACACAAAAACACTGTTAAAACGAAGATCTAGACGCAATGAAAAGGGTCGTAATATACTGAGGACCTTAAATAGTAAAAATTGTTTGGGGTTCCTTGAATCAGGGATTCTGCTCTTACGTTTTCTGCTCTCCTCATTGTCATCTCCTCGTTAGCCTTTCCGCCCCCAGTTAAAAGAAAGTGTTTTTCGTTGGCTATCAATTACAGTATACGACAGCGTATGATGAACCATGCCTCCTACTAATAATTGTTATCCAGACTACATCATCCTCTTTCGGATCCGTCATCAGTTTTATTCGACGAAATCAGAATGCCTTATTGCTCGTTTCACATGGTAAATTCAATTGGAAAGAACATTCGACAGGGTTTGTACACTTCTTGTACGTCAAACGGATATTGGATTAATGGGAACAGCAGCAATTACGAACATGATTGCCTTTATTCTTGTTTTCCAGTTTAAATCAATTGGATATCAGCTAATCCTATCATACCTCACTGTGATTAACAGAGGCAAGTGTAAAATGGCACGTTGACGTTGTTTGGTACGTTTTACCGCAACATACCGTTACATAATCACATTTAATGTAAAACACACCCTCACACCCAGGAAAGGAAAATTGGCTTTCAGATCTAAATAAAAAGTCTCAGAATAATCCCATTATATTAAAGTGTTTTGAGTTTTAGTTTAGAACATGGAGTAGAATAACGAGTGACTATTCCTCAAATGACTTAAAAATTACTTTTGAATTCAGCAAAGTCAAAGAGACGTTTCTCTTGTGTTGGCTACAAAGTATAAGCATTGATCGCTATGAAAATTGAGGTCTATACATATAGTGCTATAATTCAGCTCGTTTTTGTCAAGGAACTTTTATCCTCTCAAGAAACGATTGCAGAAGGTAAGATATCTATGCCTTCCATTCAATGAAATCGCAACGTTATAATATAATTCTAGGTAAATTCTGAACCCACATAAATCAAGTGCCGTCCGCGGTCAATATTTATCTTCTCGAAGGGAAGAGACTTGGTAGATACAACCATCAGTTCCTGGTTCTGTATTCGTTCAGAAAAATAACGTTAAAAAAAATTGTTTGTTTTGCTTGTGTACAACATAAATTTTCTCTCTAAGAGTAGAGTAATTCATCTTTCTTAAAAATGTCGAAATTAAAAAGAAAAAGAGACAATTGCTTAAAAAAAAAACTGCCCATTCTCATATTTAAAATAGTAAAAAAAAAAAAAAAAGATATTTTATTTCTTGATTGTTATTTATTTCGATCGTCACCTGAAACAGCATTATTAATACACCACTTAAATCTTTCTAAATATCATAGATACTTTTAAATGGTAGATGTTTACACAGCCGAGTTTTTAGGGGTCGAGATATTTATACTCCATTTTTCCTCAAATGATCAGGCATGAAAGACCTCACGGAAAAATTAAAGGAGAAATAAATCCAGTACCGTATATGTAGCAAGCCGGAAATTTTTTTGATGTTGGTGAGCATTAGAATGAATGCGGAGAAAATCTTATCCGACAGTGTTAACGAAATATTTTAAATGATAGCTATCAATGTTTTGCTGCTCCCTTGACAGAATTCTCAAGTTCAATTGAAATGTCGATGTAAAATGGCTTGAAGTTATTAATTATGACTGAAAAAGACATGTACCCTTCGGAAGAGAGTCATTCACATTATAACTTTCTCAAAACCATTCATACACACTGAGTCTCTTTTTAAGGAACTCGAGATCCATAAATTGCCTAATCCGGCTAATCTATAAAATGTATTTTTCCTGTATTAGCATCAAAATTATCCTCTTTCATCATCTTTTGCAAATTTCTTTCAGACTGCATGATCAATTTATCGATGTAATAATTGGCCTACCTTCAAATCGTCTTATTTTCATCAATGTCATTAACGCCAGCTATTAAGAAAATTTAACATCCGCTTTGCAGCTGAAAAAGTTTGAGTTCATAATGATGAAACCATAAAACACGTCCCTAGTAAAATTTTAAAATGCGCTAGTAATGTCACACCAAAGATCCTGTGGTCTTATCGCTGACATGATTAAAAAAAACTGGTGGTTCAAATTTTCGTGTGTAATTTTTTTTTCCTTTTTCACTTGGCTATAAATAACTGATTTTCACCATTTTAATTAAGGGTATCTTTTGTTGATTTCTTTTTGTTTATTGCAAAGTCACCTTCTACTTAATGTAAGTTGATAACACAATTCTCTTCCTAGCTCGACTTGATGCTTTTTCTTAGTCTGAGTAACACAGCTTAATTTTTGCTCTTAAATTACTCGACACATATATTTGAATTTAAAAGATGTGAAACACGGTGCTGTATTTTTTTCTTTTTTTAATTTTTAATGTTAAAAAAAAGGCATTGTATTTCAATCAATTTCACGATAGCTCGAGGCTAACACCCCTGCTATATATGAAACACTTCTTCGTCTTAAAAAAAATCCTGAAACAAGCTGAATTGAATAATTTCAGAAATTTTCGTCATTATTGGAAATCCTTCCTTAATACCTGATATCTTAATAATCTTTGCTTAATTTCCCTCCATAATCATTCCAATCAAAATAAACCACTAGTTCTCTCACCTCTCACTCTAAAACGTAAGAAAAAGTCTCAAACAGAGAGATGAGATTGTTATAATCTCCAATCCTGAAAAGACTCGTGCATTCAGGAACATAATTCCGTAGCTACTAATTCTTACATTTCGTAACATTGTAACGTGTATAGGGCAGACGACATTCAGGCGCGCTAACTCCATCATTGATTTAAGTATCAGCCAAGAAAATAAGAGCTGATCATACGGCTATTGTAGTGTTTTCAATTAATTGACTATCTTTGTTTCATTAGGCGAGCCAATAACATTTCTTTTCCACAACTCGACGACTTTTTTCGTTCCAAATGATACATATCGCCTGCGTGTGCTCGCTGTTGGAGGAGGGGGAGGCGGGTGCGGCGGGATAATGAAAGGACTGGGTAGGAGTGGTGATGTAGCAGTAAAAATTGTTCATGTCAGCGGACCAGCGGCCATCAATGTGTCTGTGGGACTCGGAGGATTAGGCGCTGAAGGCCACAGTGTAAAATCGATATCCAATGGAGGATCTTCTCATTTTGGCAACTACTTCACTGTCCCTGGAGGTCCTGGGTGTTCAAAGAGTAAATCTGAATACAACCTAAGTCACCTCAAAGGAATAAGACACCTGCAGATGAGCAAAATAGTTAAAGGTAATCTGATCGTTATATCAATAAAATTTATGACTTCATAGACGGACCCCAATCAGAAGCATTTACCAACCTGAGAAAAATACGAATACATGCAATGTTTGCACTGGCAATATTAACCTTCTGGCTGAAAACTGACTTCCAAATAGGTTAGTATTATTACAAGCCGTTGAGTCTGGCTTGAAAAAAATTAATTTTAAGAGACAATCATCCATCAAATCTAGTAGCTATGTAAAAGCTTCCTGCCGCTTAGCATGATCGGCTTATCTACATCTACTAAACACTTCGCAAAAAAATCATACCTCACGACTTTTTTTAACACCTTAAGTTAAATTGAGCATTGCTTTACGGATTCAATGTCCATCATACGACGAAAAACAATAAACTAGCAACTTCTTAAGCTTCCATATAAAATCAGGTGCGTAGCTAGGATTTTTCAAAAGGGGGGTTACACTTTGTCAAATAGAGTGTGCTCACCAGATTTTCATGTTGACCTCCACGCCTTGTTTATTTAACGTGACATAAAAGGGCTTACGCCCTTGAAAAAGCTATTGTAGGACTTTTAGTCAATCCAAGGTGAGGTATCATTCAAAATCATTTCAGGTGTGAATGGCGTGTCTGACAGCTCTGGTCTTAAAGGTGGAGAGGGTGGAATTCTTATCAATGGCTCTGGACCCTCAGGGAACAAGGGAGGAGGTAGCACTTCAGCATTAGGAGGAATTGGCTACGGAGCAGGAGGTGGAGGTGGAGGTGCACTGTACTTACACAGTGGATCTCTAATTTATCCTGGAGGAATGGGCGCTAAGGGTGTTGTCTACGTGGAAATGCTACATTCCGGTATCAGTTACAGTATATGCTCTCAATTTGTTTTTCACAATTGAAACTGTTTTACTTGAGACACCAAACCTTTGCTATTGTAAGCAAATAATAGCATACAATGAAAATTTCTTGTTAGACGAATATAACCATCGTCCCAATGGAGGATTTCCAGACTTCTTGTCCTTTAAATAAACAGTGACTTTTACCATTTTTTCGAAATCTTTTTTACTTCTTTCATTTGTTCTATTTGTTTCCATTAGTTTATTTTTGCATAAAAAGTATTAAAATCCCGTTTCTCTCTACAGTCTGTTCAAGCCCAGCTCATATAGTCTTTGCAGTGGAATCGCGTCATTCTCAGAGCGAGTTTGATGAACAGTTAACCTTCATACAGCACATTATCAAGTCCTTTCAGATATCTCCTGATAACGTCCGCGTTGCTTTGATAACGTACGGGAATGAAGTCCATCTTCAATTTGGATTTCATGACTTCAAGGACTCTAGCAACCTTTTGAAGGGGGTTGCCAGCATCATGAATGATTTTAAGGAGAGTTCAGAGGTGCAGTTCGCTAAACTATACGAAACAGCGCTGATAACCTTTGACGCCGAAGGAAGAACAAGTACACCATTGTCTAGGGTGTTAATTGTGTTTACTTTTGCTAAAAACGCCACTCAAAACGATTCGATGCACAACTTGGTCAGCAGCGCTGGGAATAAAGGCATTTTGATGTCAGTAGTTGCAATGAGAAACACAAGCAAAGAAGAAGACTTTCTGAGTCTGGTAGAGGACAAGCAAAACGTGTTTACTGAAGGAACGACTAATATCACAAACGACGTTCCTTGGATTGTCGATCTCATTTGTCAAGGTAAAACAGTTTATCGCCAAGATCAGCGATGCACCACTTGTATCTATCTATCTCTCTATATATATATATATATATATCTAAGTCAATGCTAATCATTCTAAGAAATAATGCAAAACGATATTTCTCCTCTCTTAATCATTTGATAGGACCAACAGCAAGAAAATCTGACATCAGCTCAACAAATGTCAGTCCCGTTCCATCAACGTTAGAAGTTGTAACAAGTTCCAGTTCATCGAACGTTACAAGCCTGTACTGGCACACTCCGTCACTTTTTGGTACGAAAACGAATACTCTTTTTCCCAACCCTCTAAAGGAAGGCTAATGCAAAAGCTTCTGAAACTCACTAAGCTCCTCAATTCGGTTATAACGGTTCTTGCCATGTTATTTGAAATTGTATGAGCCTGAGCCTGTCTATGTATTGAAGGACTAGCATTTTGTAACATCAGTGTATCATGCAATATTTCTCCTGTTTAATTATTTGTTACGTTAGCGTCTCGTGCACTGTAAGTTTTTTCTGTGTTCTGTTTTGATTGTTTGTTACGTTACAGTCTCGCGCGCTGTTTTCTCTGTGTTGTGTTTGATTGTTTGTTACGTAAGTACCTCGTGCATCGTGTTCTCTGTGTTCAGTTTGATTGCTTGTTACGTTAGTCTCTTGCGCACTGTTTGCTCTGTGTTCTGTTTTATTGTGTGTTGTGTTAGTATCTTGCACATTGTTTTCTCTGTGTACTGTTTGATTGTTTGTTACGTTAGAACCTCGAGCAATGTTCGCTCTGTGTTCTCTTCTATTGCTTGGTAGTATCTCGCACATTTTTTTACCCTTAGTTCGGTTTGAAATTTTTGTTACGTTAGTAAATCGCTCCCTTCTCACTTCTCTGTGTTCTCTTAGTATCTCGCACTCTGTTTTTTCATTGTTCGTTTGATTGTTTGTTACGTTAGCATCTCGCGCGTTGCTTTCTCTGTATATTGTTCGATTGATTGTTACGTTAGGTAATTCTTGCATACAGTTAGCTCTGTGTTCTGTTTGATTGTTTGCTAAGTTAGGGTCTCGTGCACTGTTGTTTTAGTGTTTGTTTAATTTTTGTTTTCTATGCGTAATAACTGATTTGGGCTTCACCTAGATCAACATTCGCGGAAAAAATATCTTGAGCTCATAATTTATCTGCTTTTTATCATCGCCAGCTTGTGAAGTAATACGCCGAGATAATTCAATTGTTAGGGACTATTACATTAAACTAATAGGGAGCGCTTTCTCAAGCGAACTGAAATTTAAAAAGGCTTAACTGTTGCCTTTCGTTCTGTTCCAGCCGAGAATATCTCCACAGAAACTGTTTACAGACACAATTTTACAGTAGCGACCATTACCGTGAGTGCAACTGTCCCTGTTAAGGCGACTACCCACAGTCAGAATGGCAATCAACGGACGGTGGAGGAACTTGAGGAAGGTACTCCAAATTGTGCGCATGCATTGACATACCAAATGTCTAAATTTTATAAGCCTCTAGTATAAATTCCCTTTTTCTTTAAGAGCTAATGGTAGAGAATTCGTCTTTACAGATCTTGATGATGTTTTAAATTTTAATGTTTCGTCGATCGACCCGGGTGATATCGTCAAAGTTAAGGTAAGTTTGTATCCGTATTCGAAATAATCACGATTCCTTTGCTACCACACTTGCTGTGTCATAATGAGGACGTGAATAGAATGAAGTCAGCAAAGATACGCCAAAGGCTAAGCTTGAATTTTCATTTTTTTTTTTGGTGGAACCTCGTCTCCCTTGAGAGAAACCTTATATGTCAACACATGTTTTAGAAAACTCAGTTTTTTTTTTATAATCAGGCATATGCTGTTTCCTAACATAAGACATGCCATTTTCCATGGCCAAGAAAACTTGTACTATACGAAACCTTGTTGGCTCCCAAGCGTCCCGAAAATAGTGCTGTTACTTCATCGAGGTCCTTGCTCAATGCTATACCTATTGATCAAATATATGTAATATTCACTCGGATTATTACAATGATAGATTTCTGATCGAATTATCAGAAAAAAAAACGTCTCGTGTGAGCTGTTTAACTATTCCACACATCATGCACTGATCAACTCCAGCTCCTGTGGTTGATGCCCTCTGATCTTTTTAGGAGTCTAAGTGATCGCTTTGAAGCTTAACCCTTTACGCCCTAACATCAGTATGTATATTCTCCATACTGTTCTCCGTACATTTCCAAAGAGGCTGACAAGGAGAATTTGTTTAAGAATCAAGAAGTGCTTTAGTTGGTGATCATCTCCTCCATTCTTATGTTTGATTCAGGGGTGGTATAATAAGGAGAGATTTGATGCTAGTCACTCTTAGAGGCTTAAGGATTAAGGAGCTCATTTTAGCCCCATGTCGGGTAAATGCGAGTGTTTTCTTACTTGGCTTGCAGAACTATATCAACTTAGCTGGCGACGTCCTCGCTGAGAGTCACAGGCTACCAAACGCCTCAGAGGCAAGTCTTACTTTTCGTACCAATCTACATTAGTCCTTAGACTAGTAAGACTACAATCTACATTAGGCCTTAGTCCTTAATAGAGTTAAACAGTCTTTGTTAAAGAAGATGTGCTCCCACGCGTTAGAGCTAGCGAAAAAAATTATTTAAAGATATAACGTCTATGTATCCGTCAGTAAGAGCTCTTCTCTATTCTTTTACATTATCCTGGGTGACAGTTTGTCTTGCTAAAAGGGCAAAGAATTATTCATTCTTGATTTCTTTCATGTGATATGTAAAGAATCAAAACTTGCACGATCACCACATCAAAATCATGTGACCGGTTTTTATGAATCCTTTTGCCAAATGGATCTTTTGTGATTGATGGAATATGGCATTGATTTTGTATTCTTTTGAAATTCGTCAGCGCGGGATAGAATTTAAGTTAGTGCAAAAAGTTGAAGACATCGGCCTCTCATTGGCAGAAAAACTGGTACCGACAAGAGATGGGTACAAAACTGTGGCACTTTCCTCTGGGAAAGTAGGTGAGCAATTTTCGTCAATATGTTTCTTTCCTTGCTCCGGTCACAGTGCGTGACGGACGGTGTTCACAAATATAGAAAATCTGGGTAAAAGAAAAAAAGACAGCTAACCCCTACATCACTTTTTTTTTAATATATATATTTTGTTCTCTAGAAATGGAAGTGGCGTCTATCAACCTGACACAACTGGAACAGTTAAGTTTACCAGACACCCGTAACAGCTCTTACAAAGGAAGTTCCTTGGAACAAATTGGCAAAGTCGTAATCCCTCTCGAGGCCTTTGCCTCTAATACATCAGGTACATTAATGAAGAATCTTCCTTACAACGTGATAAATGCTGCTCTTTTGTCTGCATGGTGAGAGGGAGAATATGTTGCAAATGAAGATTTCAACCGATGACATACAACGGTACGATTTACGATTTCTGAGAATTTAATGGAAGGTTGCGAATCTTAATTTTTGTTAAGGAAAATATCATTGTGATTTTGAAAGATCAAATCTTGCTCAAGGTTTTACAAAGCCTTGGCCAAATTAACTTTGTTAAAACCCTAACCCATTTATTGACCAGTTTGTGGGCTGATAAAGAGCCCTGTTACGCTCATTGACTCCATTTCTGTGGTAACACCCAAGTTATTTAGAGAATGATTTTGAATTTAAAGTTTCCCCCCAAGTTTTAGTCACACAAAATCGCAGACCATGCTGCGATGTAAATTTGCTTCAACCACCTCTGAATTGCCAAACAGCTATTCGCATTTAGTTCATTGAAATGCACGCTTCTGGAATCGACTTAACGTCTTTTTTTACAGAGCTTGGACAGGCAGTGTGGATAATGTTCGATCCATTGACGGCTATGAACAACTCTGCGTAAGTGGTTGACCGGCATTTGGTATGAGATAAAATTTTCTTTCGCAGGCTGGATTTTAGTTTTAATACATTTTTTTTTTTGTCACTTTGAGAGCAAGAAGGAATTTTTAGTGAATGTTCCTTTGACCTTGAAATTTTAAGAGAAAACTCTACCCATTTATTTTCATACCAGATCGATTTCATCGAGGATTTTCATGGAAAATAAAGGAAAGCTAAAGACACTTTTTTTATTTCCCACAGCGAAAGTGCAGTGAGTACTCGTATTATGAATGTCATTGCACAACCGCATCGCACGCAAGAGTTTGAGAAACCAGTCGAAATGACGTTTTGGCCTGCTCAGGTAAAAATTCTTATCTGCATATAGGGGATATGTCACTTTTTGGTTCTTTATCAAGGTTTTAATTCCTCGCTGTTCTTTTCATTTCGTATCTCGACGTCTAGGCCAGTCAGAGTAACGAACATTGTGTATTTTGGAATCAGAGCGAGGGGTAAGTCTGATTTACTTTTAGAGGATATGAGGGTCTTCCCACTTATTAACTGACTGATTGACCCATTGTTTAACAAATTACTGACTGACAAACTGACTGACTGACTGACTTTGCCCGACTGACGTTCTGACTCATTAAGCAACTCACTGTTAACTCACAGACATGTAAAGAAAATGCACCATCTGGTAATGTGGATGCATTTTTGGTTTTATACACGTGACTCCCTGACTGGCCAGCTTGCTGACTGAACCACTCGCTCGCTCGCAGACTCACAGAAAAGTTATAAAAATGAAACCACAGACAGTACTGATTCGTTTCCCCTCAAAGTTTACTAAAATTGAATTATGTTCACTGAATTCTAATCTAGAAATTACCACGGCATCTGGTCGACAGGAGGTTGCCAAGTTGCTTATAGAAACTATTCTACAATCACGTGCCATTGTAATCACTTAACTAGTTTTGCTGTTCTTACAAGGGTCACTCCACATCAGGTAAACTAAACACAACCTTTTCAACAGCGCTATCGTTCCTCTCCTTAAATACTTAGGAAAAGGCGTGGACTCAAAGAAAAAGAACTTGAAAGGCTGCGTATTATAATCACCGTGTTTCAATAATGCCAGAGCGTCAGTATCGCAGTTTCCTTAGCATAAAATAGCCCAGGATACTATCATTTCCGACGCACAGGAATATTAGCCCGTTACAGCTTCCCTTCAGCAATTTATCAAGTTCCTCTGACATTTTGCTGAAACCGATTTGTACTCTTGGGTAGAGAGGGGCTTCATCCCTCTAACAAATAATCGTTTCCCATGTTGTTGTTATACATATTTTATATTTTTTCCACAGCCCAGCGAAAAACACGAACTATCGCTGTCGATCATTACCTATGTGGGATGTGGTCTGTCAGTACTTGGATGTCTTCTAACAATCCTGACCTATGCATTCTTACCGTAAGTATGCAGTCCGGCCGTACGAAAATATTGCAGTGGCATAAAAATCACGGTGCAACTTTCATCACTCTCAATTCGGTCTGCCTAAAAGTCTCACTCTATCACTCCTTTGAAATAGAGAAATAGCCATTTATTTATTGGGAAAATTCTAGGATCAAAGTTTCCATCTCTTTCTCTTTTGGCTAATCGTTATCCTGTTTACATATTTTACAGGAGTCTTCGATCGCAGAGAATTCTTATTCATATGAACTTGGTGATTGCTATTCTTTTGGCCCAAGTGTTGTTTTTGGTTGCAGTGTTTGCGGTGAGCCCGCAAACATCAAGGGTAAGTTACTCCCGACAGTGTAAAAAATCCCTGAAAGTAATGTAAAGTAAGGAAAGCAAATAAGAGCATTTTTCTTGCAGTGATTTCATTAACTTGATATGGACACTCCACTAAACCATGATTAAATTTCAAGTTGATGAGCGACAGAACTCGCACCTCGAATTTTGGTTGAAATTAAACCAGTCATGGTTATCCTTTACAAATCCTAAAGGAAGCATTCTGATATCATGCTGTACTTAATTTTTTCTTCAAATGTTAATCTCATGAAGTAGAATTTTTACTTAGCCATGTGTATATTGCAGGTGGCCTGTTACGGGATTGCAGTAGGCCTCTTTTTCTTATTATTATGTGTATTCTCGTGGATGTTAGCCGAAGGCCTCCATATCTATTTCATGGTCGTCAGAGTCTTTGATTCTGGGAGAACAAGGAAGCTTTTTTACTTGCTTATAGGATGGGGTAAGAAACTTTTATTCGTTTACTTATATTTCTTCTTGTTTTTCTTTATTTCTTTTTCGTTGGACGGAATGCTGACTGTGATGTTTAGAGTGTATTACTCGTGTGACAAAGGCATTTGTATTAGCACATTTTAATACAATTTTCGGTCCACAAGTCGATGAACCTAAATGGAGCAAAGATGCCTGGCAAAGTAGGGAGTTTAAATACGTCAGTAAAAACCGTGAAATCAGCTCTCTGAGTTTAACCCGGCGCTTCGATGGCAAAACGGCACCAAGTTATGAATGATGGTTTTTAGCTAATCACAGGAACCTATGGTTCCTGCTAATCATTAATACTTTCAATTATTTTTCGAAAGGTTTTCCATTTATTGTTACTGTGGTTGTGGTTTCATTTTTTCAAAGGGGACTTCTCTCCAGAGATCTGTAAGTACATTGTAAAGTACTTGTTGATCAACAGAAACTACGCAAATCTGCGCGGTAGGGGTTGCAGGGGATAACGCGTTTAATCCAAGTTTTAATGCATAAATTAATTGTCTAAAAAATCAAAGCAGTGGAGTGAGAGATTTAGCGAGTGACTGAAATTTCCTTCCATACCAAAACCTCATAGTATAAATGACGTCAGACCATGACATGAGGTAGAAAGGAAAGGTTAATGTAAATCGGCAAAAACGCCACGGCATAATCTTTATCGATAGTTAAAAGTGATTAATATCTATTTTTGGGCGAACTGTTTACTGGGTTACTGATTTTGAAAATTCTTTCATGTCCTGTTCGCAGATGCTGGCTTTCAATTGAGACTGGAGCCATTTGGAGTTTTGTTGGTCCACTCATCTTTGTCATGCTGGTATTTTACACCGTGATCACCACTTTTTTTCTAACATTAACGTTCAATAACATTCACTTTTATATTTACAGTTAAATTGGTTACACTCTGAGTGTTTCATCTACCACTTTAAACCATGTCTTTTATTTCTCGTCAACCTGCAGTTTAATCTGGTCATTGTAACCATGGTGATGAGTGTTACATCTAAAATGTTAAATGAAGAGAGGCCATCCAATGTTAGGTAAACGATATAATCTAACATAGGTTTTTTCTTGTCTGTCTCTCTATCGGTGGCAGTCTAGATCTGCCTGCCTACTTGGCAGTCTGTGTGTCTGTGTGTCTGTCTTAGTGTCTGTCAGTCCGCCTGTGTCAGCCTGTATCTGTCTGGATTTGCCAATATATAACCCATATTTTATGCCTGTCTGTCTGTTTGTCTGTCCGTCTACCTGCCTGTCTGTCTGTCTTTCTGTCTACTGTCTGTCTGTCGGTCGGTCGGTCTGTCTGCCTGCCTGCCTGTCTGCCCGCCCGTCTGTCTGTGTGCCTGTCTGTATGCCTGTCTATCTTTCTGTCTGTTTGTCTATCTGTCTTTCTAAATGACTTTTAGCATATATGTCTATCCATTTGTATCGCTATGGTCTGTCTCTGTCACCATCTTCCAATTTATTCTTTTCTTTTGACTGTGTTACTTACCGAAGTGTACTTGCCTTTTACTCACGCCCATGACTGTTCAGTGAAATTATTAATTACCGGTCTTTGCACATACAGTCGTTTGTTTAATCAACTTTTCCTTATTTGTACCTCAAAGGTCTTTGACAAAAGCCTTCGTCACCCTTCTTCCTATTCTGGGTCTGACATGGGTGTTTGGTCTTCTTGCTGTCAACAATAACTCCATAGTATTTGAATACCTTTTTGCAATATTCAATTCCTCGCAGGTAAGATGTTTTAAGAGTAAACAATGTTAACTGTTGCACTCGGTTAAAATGATATACATCGCAAAAAATGCCGCACAGTGTCTAAGAAACTCACGGCTATTCCAGCCTTCGTCGGTTACCTCCCTGGCCTATATTCCCTTTCTCGATCACATTATTTTCATCGGTCCTCCATCCAATTAATTCATTTATCTTATCATCTTTCCATCTATTCATGATTTTTAGCGAAATACTTCACACGTTAGTTACCAACACGGAAGCTTCGTCTTGTTTTCTGTAGTTCACGGCCTTTGTCTCATTGCAATTTTTATCAAAGGAACCGTGGTTATATAGAGTATTTTATGCATTTACCTATCCGTCCATCCGTTTTCCAATGTAAATAATTCATTTATCTAGAAAACAAATCTTTCTCACCAGGGCTTCCTTATTTTTCTCTTCTACTGCTTGAAAAATTCAGAGGTGAGTAGCGTTAAATGTTTCGACTACAAAAGTATTTGTGTCTCCAACTGACACCGACAACAGAGTTGAAAAACTAAGTAAACAGTGTATCTTTTGTTTCTTTTGACGTAATCTTGTGTCCAAATTGAACTTAGGTTCGTAAAGAATTTAAAAGGAAACTGCACAATCTACGTGCGCAGAGGCATCCCTCTTCTCCAAATCCGTCGAACATTCCAAGATCTACGCCGGCAGAAATTGAAGTGCCAGGACCTTGCCCTCAGCAGGAGAACATAACACGAGATAAGGGCTTTGAAACAAGACTATGACCATATTTATTTTGTCTTACTTACTTTCTAAAACAACTGAAGTATTTACACGTTTCTTCACGACTTTTTAGCCCAAGCCATTAGCCCAGTCTTTAAAATGGAAGATGTGAAATATGTTTCGTTGCTACTGCTGATTTATACGTCGAAGAACATAGTTTTGACGAACTTGCCCTTGCTTGGCTGAACTTGAACAAACTACAGACAGAGACTACTTAAGTATTTATAGGTTATCCTCGTCTAAACTCGAGAAAAGTCCCTCGTGGATTTCTTTGATAAGATCAACATACCGGTAAGACAGGCCACCTTTTGTAAAACGAGATAGGAACTACACTGATGAAATTTGACGGAACGCCGCAAGATCAAATGATTCCCATATGAGTCAAAGCAACTATTATTGTTAAAGCACCAGATTTTAAAGGGGGATTATCGAACGTGGAGCAAGAAGGCAGCTAGAGTAAGGATAGTTCTACAAAACATAGCATGGAAATATATATATGTATATATATGTATATGAAAAAGTGTGAAAAAAAGTTAAAAATTCCTGAGTTGAATTTGTTGTAGAACAGGTAGAACTTCAATCGGCGAAAACCTCATCAACATAGATGCATTGAGGAAGACAGCTGACAAAACCAGAACAGTCTGTTTGACAAAACAACAAGGGTAGGGCAGATAATTGATTAGCTCCAGCAAGAAGCGCCTGTGAGGGGCTGTGATAGAAATTCCATATGCATCTAAAATGGTGTGTAAATTCACGGCTTATCTTTCCAAGTTACAGATCAAGAAGATGGCTCAAAGGGATGTTGGGTATAGTTCTCATGACGTAAAAGTAGTTCAACGGGCGCTTAAAAAACACCACTATGAAAGTTATGACCCTGGCTCCGCCATTAAATAACCACTGAGACCCCAGGAATGTAGACTCCTAGTACTAGATAGTCAGCCTTTTCCGGGTAAAATGGGTAAACGACAAAGAATAAATGGGTTCCATGTGCCTGTCCCATTTAAAACCTGGTATAGATTTGTATCCGACCTAAAAAGTGCAGCCATCTGTCCACTGTACTTGCCTCTAACAGTAATCAAAGTATGGTCAATGAAAAACTGCCTTAACACCTCGTTAACGAATTCTGTTGAAATAGCAAGACAATTGAACAACATTCTGAGTCCTCAAATTACTTACCGAAGTTCTTGAATATTCCTTAATTAGCCCTCTGTACAGCTATTTTTCACTCGTTCTATTATATAATGTTCTATAATAATGATACCAGCAATCTCATCCATCCATTTTCTTCCATTCATGCTCTAGCGAAGACACCAGACATCAGACCCTTATCATGAATGAAACCGTAGCCCTACACCCATCATTGCGAATATGTTTCTTTCTTATGGTCCATACATAATGATGACGTATCAGTGATGGTGTTTCGTCAGTTGTTATTTCACTGTAATCGAGTTTAACAACATCGAATTACAAAAACAAGTTATATGGCGGGTAATCAATGCGGACAACTTGATCGATCAAAAGTCGATCGATTACGTCTCGTTTTCCAGATGGTCGGTGGACACCTCGATTGTGACATCGGCTTGCAGTGTGTCGTGTGTCCAATCGACCATCGGCCGACTATCATTCCCTTTCTCGGTCGATTATCGGCCAACTATCATTTCGTTTATGGGTCGATTATCGGTCGATGATATGCCGACTATCGACCGACCATTGGTCAATAGTTCGACCACAATGGATAAGAATTAGAACACATGATCCAAAATCGCTTGACTGTTAAGTAAGTATCGCTAAAAATTTATTTGTTTCTCCAACACAAAACATACCCTTTTCCGGTTCCATCCCAAAGGTATGATAGAGTTGGAACTCTGCCTAGGCGGCCAAACAACCAAGCCACCTTCCATAAATACGGTGCACGCATACACTTCTCAGTGGCTGCGGTCGATCGAAAATGATCCCTATATAATGCATAAGGGTTTGGCAATAGCCGTTGGAAACAGTTCATTTTTCCTGGTCTACCTTACTGAACGTGCATTCTTGAATTATTTTTGCTCGAGCTCTTTCAAGCCCTACTCGTTGGTTATTCAAACCCTATTTATTGATTGAGTGCGCAAATAAATAGTGCATGACAATGAATCGTAGGTGTCTGGGACGCTGCTGGCAGAAAGACCCATTTAATTTTTTTTCTCTATTTTTAATCGCTTCCATCTGTTTTTCTACTGTTAAAACTGGCCGCGAAATCAGCGGAAACAACTGATTATTTCGCGGGTGTTTGGGCGACATAACGTCGCGGCAGTTTAACAACTGATTAATGTGTTATTTCTTTAGTAAGCGGTCAAGGTCAATTTTATTGCACGAGCTTTGAAACGTTAAATCGCACAGAGTTAAATATAGCGCACTGAAGCAAGACTTCACTAACTTTCGTTGAAAAAAAAGCAAACTTCAGAAATCATCGCATTATTTTGACAATTGGATTTCCGTTTTTAGCCCACGCGTTCATCCGAATCAACAATCCTGTCATGTTTGTGCCAGATGCTGCCATAAAATTCACCGAACTGCGACAGTCTTTCGTGTGTATTTCAACGAAATATTCAATTTCTCTCCTGCTGTCGACGCCTTGGGTAAAATAACGCTGAAGACGAGACGTAGAGATCGCGTGGGTTTTCAGCAAAACGATTAAACTTTGATCTGACACTGTCTAGATAAACCTCAAATTTAAATTCCAGTACAGTTATGTAAACAAAAATTACCCCGACTTGACTTCGAAGTTTTATTAGAAGAGGAAAACAAAAAGAGAAACTTCTTCCTTCTTCTAACTTTTAATGTGTCTATTATGTTACTCCATGCACTTCTTATCGCATGCAGAATTGGACCAGAACATCGGAAATGTTCAAATATTGTACTTTGTTATAATTCCGACCACCAGATACAGATTCTTATCACTTCATCTTATTCCAGAAAAGTCTTTCACGAAAAAGCTCTTCTCTTATAGCACTTCTAAATCTTTAAATGTGATATCTTGACGCGTTTTGGTCATGAAATCTAAGTGCTGTTATCTTTAAAAATACCAAACATATAAATAGATCATGAAGAATGTAAATACAAAGATTTGCGCTCGTTGTTTGAATTTTAGTAATCCTGATCTTGGTCTGTTTGTGTTAATCTTCCATTGTAAGGCTATTTACATTGATTTTCCAACACAAGCAATATTGGGTATTATATTGGCTTTCTTAGTTGAACAAACCGTGGAATTTTGGTTCGAAGAAAAGATTTTAGTGAACGCCACAGGATAAAGATCAGTTGGGGGTACGCAGACTACGTCGCACAAACAAAGTGGGTGAAAAACTCTGAAGAAGGGAAGGAAACAACTAAATCAAGACAGGTCCAAATTTAGACAGAGTGATAAAGCTAGTTACATGAGTAGTCAATGCAAAATTTATGTGACGATATTACCATGTCTGTCAATTAAGCCAAGGCTTAAAATTTGGAGGCGTGATTAATCTGTAATAGAACCGTGCTCTTCTTTTTTCGCTTCTCCAGTTTGGGGAAAAAAAAAAGATCACAGAACTTTTATAGGCTCCATCAAGTAGTTAAGTAGGATGCATATGGGTTCTAATTAAGAGCATCAAACCCGTTATCAAGAAAATTTACCTCCAACCGCATGTCCTTAAAGACTTAAAGAAGCTTAGGGTGTGCTATTGTGACGTCACATAGTTTTAAGCAAAAGTTACAAAGGGGTCAGAACCGAGGTCGGTACAAAACAAGTGCTTCAAAGGAAGTCATTTAAAATATGCATACCTCCACGTGTAATACCAGCCGATTTGATTACTATGACAGCGTTTTGCTTGAGTGATTCCTGCTTCGATGGTTTGAGTGTTTGTGTTAGCTCTGTTACAGAGTGTGCTTTTAATCAGACACTCTGGACTCAGACATGACTAAGGAGAGAAAGACGTCTTCACCAGTTGAACAAGGATCGCATTTACACATGGCTATCAAGTTGTTGAAAGCGGAAAATGCGAACCTCGAGAAGATAATAATTTTGCTGAAGACCGAGAACCAAAACATGCAGCGTAAGATGAAGGAACTCGAATATCAGAACGACAGGTTTAAAATCACGCAAAATCAGCTAAAAGCGGAGTTGAAGAGGGAAAAGGAAATGGTGAGGTATTTACATAATGTGAACAAGAAATACGAGCGAACGCTTCAGAAGAAAGAAGCAGAGAGCAGACAGCTGCGCAAAGAGGCTAAAGAAGCTGAGATGAGGAGCCTCAAACGAGAAACCAAAGACGTAAACAATAACGCAAAGGAAACCGGCAAAGACACGGAAATCCGACGACCGCAGCCACCTAAACGATCGGACTCGTTCAAAAGAAACAAGGATCTTGCGGCTATAAAAGCGGATCAAGGAATCACTACCGTGAGCAACCAAAACGCTAATTTAAAACCAAAACAACCGGCTCAAATCACGCCCGCAATCAAACAGTCGAACTCAAGCGACGACATAACTTGCGAATGGGAAGACGTTACGGACGTTTTGGGCTTCTTAAATGAGAAGGTCAATCAGTTCGAGCGGTTACTTCTGGAGACTGGAGGCTCGAGCAAGTCGGGATCTGGCTCAGGATATTCCTCGTCCGACTCAATGACATCCACCAAGTAAAGTGTGCATGAATCACCCGGCTGTAACTTGTATGCAACTTGTCTTTTATACTTCAACCCACGTAGATATCACTATTGCTCCATGTATAGCCTCACGAACTAGAAAAAGGGTTTTCCTCAGGTTTCGCTGCTAAGTATGTTTTATTTTAATTAGTAAAGCAAGTAGCTGTGACCTTTTTCAAAACAAACACCAATTGTCTTTTAAAAGTGTACTTCAGTATGTGACATTTTACTCCAGCTGTCAAAGGGGCTTATTAACTCGACTGAGGTATAATATTTACTAACAACAGCGAACAAAATGGAAGAAATAATGCAAAGGTCAAGAGAGCTTTTTTTTAATGCTCCAATGATTACAAGACGTGTGTATTTGTTCTGCAGCATGACCCCATATTCATTACAGTTTTAAAAAATGTACTGCGCTGTCTTCAGATAATATTAGTAGGAATTATGCAAATAATTAACGCAGTTTACAGCCAGGTGTTTAGTTTCTTCGTAAATATGAGTGGATTATGAGTTCAGGGCGTGACAGAAAAACGTGCGTAACGCAAAGGAAACCAATCTGAACTCTTAAGAGTGGGAGTCGAAATAGGCTCGGTGTACAAATTAAATTATCTTTCAGTATCACAGATCCATGATTATAAGCTTCTCAAGAGATCTTAAATGTATATTAAACGTTTGCAAAAGAATGTTTATGCGCTTGTTCTTCACCATTACAGTACAGTGGCTAGTAAGACAGCGCCATCCCGTAAAATGTTGCGTTTCCCATCATCTCTTAGCACGTGAAAGTCAGCTGAGTGAAAAAAAAGGAAGAGAGAAAAAAATTTATCGATCGTGGATACGGGTTGGGTTGCAATTATGTCAGGGGGTTTAGGTATTAATTTTTTCCATGCTTGCCCCCCTGATCGATTTTTCCCCCAAGTCTTTTCCGGCCTTTAGCCCCACTCAAGAATCATTTCCCAAACCAAATTTAATTTCATAAGTTTTGTTTGCCAGGCAGTATGTATTGAATCTTGATTAAGTTATTTGTACAAGAAAAAGGGCCTATCGTGCGACGGGAAACGAAACATTTCGTACGAATGACCAGTTTTCACATTAGTTAACATATGCTTCACAGCGATAAGTGACGGATTTGAATTGCACGAGTTTTCCAGGAAGACATCTGTACTTTCCTTCGGTTGGTATTGAAACTTCTGAACAAATCCTTAAAGTTAGGCTTTACTGTAGTGAAAGTGTGTTTATTCAGAAAGATGTACCACGTTGTTCCTCCAATTGGTTCGAAGCGTACCTTTTATCATGGCTTGATAATCAGACGAGCTGATGAAGGGACCTACAAAAACAACTTATGTCCAGGGCTACTCTGTCGTTCCCCTAATGCACTTCAGCACATCTTCCATCTATTTAACTCTGAAGAAGAACGCAGGCATGCCATACGTAATTTAACATAAACAGTTTATGTGATACTGTCCTACTGATTTGTCATATTTTTAAGGGGGGTTATTTTGAGCTTCGTATCTTGTTGTAATTGACATTTTAGCGACATCTTTAGACCGACGCTGCAAACTACAATTCAGATAGTTTCATTGCGAATTGACAAGCATCAGGTCCCTCATTGAAACAGAGATCGATAGATTCCGTGGAGCTTAACTCTTTTTCTCTCGTGCCGTAATAGGAAATTGTACATCAGGTGTTGACAAATAGCAGCCAAAAAAATGAACACAATTTCAAGATAGTTTACTCTCAAGTGACCTTGTCCTCTTAGCTCCCGTGCACTCATGTGAATGGAAAGTCGCCGCTTACGTTTCACCGCCAAAAACATATCCATACCTTCGAATCGCATGAACAGATTCACCTGGGCCCTTCCTTCAAGAAAGAATAATATGCGACGCAATGATGTTCAGATCGCGTACATGTAAAGAATCGTTTTCAAATTTCTATGTTATTTTCAATGCTTATTTGTCAAGCTTATCCCTATTCGGAAATAAGATATTCCATTATCTTATTAAAAAAAGAAGAAGAAGAAACAAGATGAAAAGTAACGAAAATTATTCATACGCCAAGTCAAAAGATATCAACTGATGAAAAATGATCTGAGAATAGAAATGGTGACAAGGCCAATATACAATTTAACGCCAATTATACCACAATGATAAACAAAAGAATTGAAGCCCGTGACAGTATCGAATTCCAGACACGCAATGATAGTTTTTGCCATCTCATGATAGGGCTTATCATAGACGTCGTCCGCGTCGTTCTCACATATCCTGCGCCCTCTGAAATTTACCAGTTTAGCTGATTATCTACGAATGGATCAAAATCACTTGGAATGCCTAAGAATTGAAAACAAAAAGCTTCGTGGTAAGCACAATGAACTAGAGTCGGATCTTATCGAGGAGAAAGAAATGGTGAAATATTTGCATGGTGTGATAAAGAATTACCAACAGCTGTTAAAGTCACCACAAACGACACGACATCTTCAAACTGCTTCTCAAAAGAGCGTGCGTCGATCTTCGAGTGCCCGACTAGTGACTAATGAAAAAGATGTAGAAGAATCGTTCCTGAAGAATTTGATCGAAATGAGTAGTTTTCATCCGGGAAAGAAGGAAGCGAAACCTAAGGAACAAGGGTTCGTGCCAAATGATAATTCACATTCAAAGGCGTTAGACACGTCCGACTGTGAAGATACAGACAGAATCGATAACAACAACAGCCATGTATCTGATGAAATTTTATTACCTACTGATCAGCGACGCAAGAGATCAGAATCTATTCCTCCTACAAACTCGTTTTACTCGAATTTTCTGAGTCAAAAGACCCGTAAACCACGAGGAAATACTATCTCGGACTTTAGAACACTTCCCCTTAGCAACCCGAGCGCGAAGTGTTTCGAGAGAGAGCATGTTATGCAAGAAATGACCCAAATGTTGGACTCCATGATGCAGAAAACAACTTTACTCGAAAAAAGCTTAAAACAGAAGGACAAACATTTGACAAAAATGGAACGAAGGTTCGAATACTTGGAAAGCATAGCGCTTGGAGAAGAATCTGAATGTCTGTGACGAGCTTTTGCGTGACTCACCTGATTTGAGGAAATAAGGCATATGAACGCCCACGCGGTGAAGGAAGTTCGTACAATCAACGAAGATACAATTTACTTACCACTCTACCGTGGCCATGCACACAATTAATTTATCGTCAGTTTACATTGATGATCAAAGGTCCAGCTCGGTTTCCAATATCTTGCCCCTCCTCTCTTTTTTTGGCTCAATAGCTAGGTGATTAATTTACATGAGACGAGTGGCAAGTCCACCCAAATCCCACAAGTGCGATCACAGTCCTTGTAATGCATATCTGTAAAGGTTTCAGTCGAACGATTTATTCCGGTTACCGGGATTAAACTTGAAAGATGGCGTCACGTTCATCGCGATCACCGAGTTGAAATTTCCCACTGAATGGAGGCCGGACTGAAATCTCCGTTCACTTAGCAAGCTTAAATTTCCTATATGAACAGAGGACATTTGTCTTGCGAACCAGGCTGAACCTGACACTGGCCTCTTATGGTGACTCGGAAAGGAGAAAGAATGGAAACCAACAAGGCTTCGCTTTCCAATAATCTGACGGACAGAGGTACAAAAACATTTAATTACCGTGATTGAAAGAAACCTCGAGACAAGGAACTATTGCAAAAGAGACTATGCAAAGCTGCTATAATAAAAGTGTTTAAATTATCACTTAAAGAAGTCGTGTATTAGGTTTTATGGAAATTTGTTTCTGGTGATTTGTTAAGTTTACATGAAGAGTTATATTTGCGATTCAATAAGCGGAAAAAACAATGTGAATGTTTGACACGAATAAAGGGATCGAAAGAAGAATAGAAAATCCGCACGCGTTAATAAATCAAATCAGAAACCGCTGTCATGCATAACCTCTATATTGTCTCTTTCTCGTTTTCCTGTGGTTAAAGTGTACTTCCGCGCTTAGGATCTTAGTGATATTTAAGGTTGGAATCTCGACGAAATGAATTCTTAGCCCAAGTTACCTCGCCTTTATAGAGAAGCCATGAACGTTATAAAGCTTCACGTGACGACTGAAGTAGAAAAACGTCGGTGTACTGAACTCCTGTCGCCGGGTTTCTCGCGTGATTGACCGTGCCAGCTGGGATGCCTTCAGTATATACTTATAATACAATGTGAGATCAAGAAGCCGTAAGTTACACTGGTTAGCCTGTGGACCTTAATTAAACCGAACCTTCCCCCGTCTCCAACCTCAGAAAAGGGTGCGAGCAGACTCTCAATCAGTGAAGTCTGCGAAAGTCGAGCCGGCCCTTTCTCAGTCTTCGAGGGGTTTGGCAGCTTGCAAGATGCTGGTGATTGAGGCGACAATGAAAGCGTGTTCGTAAGCTACCCTCAAAAGGAAAGAAACCACCCACCGATTCCCTTAGTGATAACAGATATAGCTCGTGATTATGGCAATAGCTGCAATCGTCTAGGGGAAGAAAACCTTAGCAAAGATAAATCACTACCAGATATGAAGGTCCAGGACTGTGGAAAACCACTCTTTCCATATCATAAAGGACCATGCCAGAAATAATCAACAAAACAGTTAAATCCAACTTGGGAAGTAACGCGCTTAACCTCTTCCTAAAGCTTAATTAAAGACTTAGATGGCTACAGGCACGAAATGAATAGTTGACAGGTAATCTGTATTCTTCGTCTTCCTACATCCTTTTTTAACCTTTGTTTACCCAATTGATATCGATATATTGTAATTGAATATTACTCTGAGGTTTTTCACAGCTGGTCGTTCCATTCCGCAGAGATCTCTAAATTGCCTCTTAACAGCAGTTCTTCCTTCCTTTTAAAAAATAAAAAAAGAAAAATAAATGAGATAACGGAAACCAAATTGTATGGGCTCCCTGGGTGGTTGGGATAAGCTGTATAGTCCGTGACAAGATCGTTGCGCAATTGAAGTATGAATTTCATTTCTAGAAGGTGATTTTATGCCTGTCTCTACACGCGTGTATCCGCGCAACTTTGCGTGTTACGTGGTGGATTTGCTTTGTCGGACGAAAAACACTGGAAATTAGTTTAAAACGTAAATCCATCATGGCGGCTTGGATGAAGATGTAAACAAGAATGAGTTAATAATCTGTCAGTTTTTAGGCAAAAACAGGAGAATAATGAGGATTTTTAACATCACACGCCTTTAAGTTGATGTTGGATCTTGCTAAATGTTGTTTATATGGAAAAAACGACGTCCCATTGGTGTAAAATCTCGGAGATGGAGACCTCGTGCAGTCGTTGGGATGAACTGCTGGAGGTAAGGAATAACCTTCTTACAAACTGCTGGACGAGCATGTTGTTTCAATTTATGGAAATACTCCCATTTAACCCATAAAATTCTAAAACAAAGTCGTAGTCCTAAAGGTAATCTATTGTTTTGCTATTTTTTTCCTCTTTCAAGTATATACTGAATTAATATGATATGTACAATGTCAACATAATGAAGAATGGACGTAAGAAAAAAAAATTCCAAATCGTACTCAATTTATTTCTACTTCATGTCTGGGCCGGATCTAGGATTCGTTTGGCATGAGGAGTGGGTGGTCGGGAGAGGGGGGGAAGGATCTTCTCCAGGAGAGATCTTGGGAAATGGGATTTCCAATGCCCAGAGCCAAGAACAAATTAATGCACGAAACGTGAGTTTTGAAAATAATTCACAGTGACAAATTAACATCATCAACTCAGTTAAAATTTTTTGTTATGATCCTACACTGAATTGCAGCACTGCAGTTTCTTTAGAAACTTACCTCCTTTATCTATCTAATATGATACTTATTTAAGTGTGTGACAGTAAAAGAATCAACATAAATTTAATACTCACAATATTTCTATCCTCACCATGCCAAAGGTTCACCTTAAGTTAACAAAACACGTACCAAAAGAACCCAACTGATTTGGGGTAGATTAAAGATAGAGGCTTCACTCAAGAAAATTTTATCTGCATAATGTATCTATCCATATAAAGGTTCAACATCCCCCCTTTCTTCCCCGGTTACCCCCTGGGCATTGGAACTTTTAAAGATTTTTCTTTCCTTTCAATTCTTGCCCGGGGGCAAAAATTGTGTTCAAATGTCTCCCTTTTTTTTTCGTGAAAGGTTAAATCAGGGACCTTGATATTCTATGCATTGACCAGACTTTAAAACTAGACCTTTTTAGACCTTTTCCTGTGGTTCATTGCCTCTTGAAAGTGAATTATTTACCCTAAGCACCTTCATATTTGTAATGGTAATTGAACTGAGTGGAGTGCAATGGGTAATCACATGATTTTGAGAGCAATTTGGGATAAATCAGCACAAGTAACTTTTTTAAAGGCCAACCAAATTGCAGGCAAGTGCAATGTGTATTCTTTGAAAAAATTATGAGTGCTGATTTATCCCAAACTGCACAAGAAAAATCATGCAATTACTAAGTTATAATTATACAAGCAAAATATGCCTCTGTTTCCATTTTTGGCTGTTTTAATTTTTTGTCATGGCTCACCAGTTCACTGAGCTGTTTGCCTTTCCCTGTTGCAGGAGTTTTTGGGCTTTCCCCTCAAGAACTTGTTTCAAATTTTCAAAACCTCTCTCAAGAATAATTCAGTGCTTGTATTCTTTCTCAGACGACAGCAGTAACCATTACTTGAAAACTTTTACTCTCATAATCTTCCCCATCTTTCATACATACTGTTACATAAAACTCCTTTAGGATTTTATCAGGGTCTCCAGTTCATACTTTCATATCTGTTTTTGGAAGCCAGACTTTTAGCCCGTTGTTTTACCTTTGTTAGGTATTTTCAATTTAGCATTCTCCCTCAAATTCTGAATTAAGACATTTTTACTTTCTCTTCACCTGTCCACCATTTTTTTTAGGTGTTTTGGTGACTCACCTGTCAATTAATTTAATTTCAACTTCCTGCACTTGATTTCAACTTTCTGCTCAGTTTGGGGCTAATTGACATGTTCTCACCCAATGAACATGCTGAAAACTTTGCATATGCATTATTAGGTCAGAAATTATATGTGATTTCAAAATCAAATGAGTCAGCACACCACAAGTTTGCCTTTGAACTCACGCAAAATTGCAGGACACAAAGTTTAATTACGATTTCATTACATCCATTTTAAGTCTTTACAAATGTTTTGTTGATCCAAGTGATGAGCTGGTTTGTAGAAAGTTGCAAAAGTTGTTTTTCATTTTACTACAATTTGATTGCTTTCTTTTAACAAGCAATTGGTTGTTGTATTTAAGTAAAGCTTCCTTGATGGTGGGAAAAAGATACAATTTAGAGCAATGGCGTGCTTGGTGAATAAATCACACCAGTGAGAGCCAATCTGATTATTTGGATCATCAGTGATTTCAAAATGGAGTGGATGTGAACTAAGTTCAATTTTCTGTCAAGATAGTGATTGAAGACCTACAGTTTACATGTACATGTATCCACTTTCAAATAGCATTTTGTTATGGAGCAATAAAAGATGTGCCTTAAACAAATGGAGCTATGGTAAACTAAAAATGTTGTGGAATCAATTGAGTCAATTTCAAGTGATCAAGTTCATAGCATAAGGTACCAAATGTTTTGAATGTTTTCATTCAGACAGAAAAGGTCTAGGTCTGTGATAACCCCATCGCAGGCAACTGAAAATTGTTTCAACTGAGACAACATATCTTTTAAACTAAGCAATCTTATTGAAGATCATGACATTTGACTTACTGGTTGTTCCTATATTAAGTAATGATTGTACAAAACATATAATTTATGATTAAAATTCCTATAGTCATATATAACTCCTTTGAGCAAATAATGAAGACAACTTAATAAAATATATCAACAAAGAGTTATTGCTCTTTTTTAAAAATTGAAATCTTAATTTTTTTTTATTTGATTGGCATCAAGCATTTTGCTGAAATAAGGATGAAATTTTGCTCTGAGACATATTCTGTTTCACTGAATGTATCAATCATCAAATAAAACTCATATGCAAACAAAATGAGAATAAACTTGACAGAGTAACTGTAGAATAAGACTTGTATGCTTTTGATTTATTTTTCAATTTTTTTGCAAAGTTGTTTGAAGGAAGATTTTTGATTGTTGAGTTATATTAGGGGTTTCAAACCTCAAAATTCAAAGTTAAATATGGCAGTCCATCACAAGCAGATGTTAGGCATGGTTGTGTTTTTTGATTGTGAGTTAATTTAGATAAATACAGAGTAAATCATGATTTAAGTTGAGAGAAAGATGTATGAACCAAATCAATAGTCAAAACACCATATATTTGTATAATTCAACCAAGATCGATCGCAGGCCTTCACCATTACACTCAGCAGCCAATTTCAGGCATAGGTAAAAAAATGATTTAAAAAGTGCGCTTGTTTACATTGTATTGTTGGGGCAAGGATAGCTAATTATCAAACCAATCTTAAATAAAGAGAGGGAGGACTCAGAAAACAGGAAGTAACAATTGAGAATAGCTTATGCAGGTTAATTTAAACTATTTCTACCATTCAAAGGCATCTCCTCAAAAAGGCAGATGCATATCTGTACAAGTAGTTCACACTAATTTCAGCCAGGTGCTGTAAAGCATCGTTATTGAAAGAAGAATTTGCCTTTTACTTATAACAATTGTCAAGTTTGAAGTTAATGAATATTGTATGCTTAATGTTAATGAATGTTCAAGCAGGTTGTTGGTTACTAGAGTCATCACCTTGCTTCATGATTTTCAGTTGAGAAGGGGAACAAACAAGGAATTCACATACATGTACAACTTTTCCCTTATTTTGCTTCTTCAAAGTTAAGAATTTGAATGCAAATTCTAGTTATAGATCAAAGCATCAATCAAGTGTCATACTGTTCCTTGTCCCTGAGGATTTTATTCTCCTTTTCAAACAACAACAGACAGTGTGGAATCTCTGGAGAGAGACCACACATTTTGCAGGCAGTCAATACTAATATTACATGAACAACAAAAATAGACTGAATATGTGTCTGAACAATTCCAAAATTTATGGTACACACTTACATCAGCATGAAGATGAAATGTTTACATCTTGATATAGGCATTACATGTGCAGACCATTAATCCTAGAATGAGCGCCTCCACTGATAACCACTCCCCCTCCATCAGCCCAAAAAAATTTCAAAAGGCTCCCCTCCTAAACCAAGCTCCTCCCTTCCCTGTTTTCCATGTCTGTAGAAGAGTAATGTGACTACAAAGAAAGTTAACATCTGATACTCACATTTTCAAATATGACATGAGCGATAAAAATCACTTGCGCTCCCACACTTGCACCAATTTATAATTATGTTAAGTGTGGAAAGTGTTAAAAAAAACACAGTTTTTTCTCCCACAGGCAATCCGTTGCTTTTACCATCGTATTATTTCTTTTCTTCAGGGAACGGTTTGCATAACAAAGTATGTGGTTATATGGGAAGCTAGCCAAAAATCACACGTGTATGATATCTGTTCTGCATAATTTTTGGGGAAAGCACTGCAGCATGGGTATCCTAGAAGTTCGCAGTATGCTTTTGACTCGAATGTAGCTTAATTGTTATTTGTAATTGTCTAGCAAAAAATAATGTTTGGAAGCTTAACCGTAGAGTATCGTAAGTGCTTATCGCAAGTTCTCACGTTTGTCTCTTGTATGGGACACCCGGAATTTCTTTCTAAGAACAGGTCTAGTACATGCACTTATAAAAATTGTAGTTGCCCTCGGGTAAATTAGTTATACCACTTGTGATACTTGGTGAACGAATTCCTTCAAATAATGCAGCAAGCCTTTTCAACAAGCGGGGTCTTTTCGCGTTTACAGAGACGCGGCAAGAGTAAGGAAGGTTGAGCAGTCATCAGTGGAGCTTCTCTTCATGTAGGGTCAAAGTCCTCAAATATTTTTTTATTTTTTTATTTGTGGCATCGAACCCTTGTCGACTGTCGTTGTTTTCCTACTGAAAGTTTCCAGTAT